TTAGTCTGGAGGTGGAGGATCCGCCGGTCGTTACACTTTCGAGGGTAGTTTATTTTAATGAAATTGAACGATTTGCGGCCGAATTAAGCTAGCGCTGACCTTTGCGAAACGTTCCATATAGTTAACACGAAGCTAACACGATCGTGGCGTCACAAATTTATCTACCACTTTAGCATATAGTTCGTTCGAGAAAAGGTCTCGTGACGTCACAACTCGGTTGGCGTGCGCGTACTTGGTAAATGTGTAATTAATTAATGGTGGAATTTTTCAAGGTCGGTTTTTCCGATAGTCGGAAAAGCGGGCGAATAACCCGCATGTACAGGAAATTGAATCGGCCGTTCCGATATGTAGCGCTTTAAATATGCACGATGTTGATGGAAGCTTTCGAAATTTCCACCGGCGGAAAATCGCCATCGCGGGGAAAATTCTCGTGCGTTTCGTCGGCTGCCCAAGCGGGAGAAGGAAAATCGAAAAAGACCAAAAAAAAATTGTTTCGTTTTGACGAGTTTTCTTTTTCCCACCGCCGTCGGTGTTTTCTTCGAGTTTTTCCTTTATTATTTTCACCGTAATTGAATTACAGCTCGAAAGTTCGACCTTTTAATGGCTTTTGTTGTATAGTATACTATATCGCATACTATTTGTACAAGTGGGTATATCATTAAATATAACTATAAAATAATTTATAGAGTTTGGAATAGTTTTCGGGATATTATACATTATTGGAGGTATTGAATTACAATTTTGCGAGCAACAGGTATGTACAGATCGATAGAAATAGCTGAAGACGTCTGATGCGCAACGGAAAAAGTATTAAATTAGGCACCTACAAAAAAAAAACTGTCTTGTTTTCTCATCATTTGCTCTTGTAATCTGGAGCTATATGTACAGATCTATATGCATAGCTCAAGTCATCAGATGCGCAGTTGCAAAACATAAATTTAATTAGATGAAGTACCTACGTAACAGGATTTATAATGGAAAATTTCATCAAAGAAAAATCCTAAAGGTGCGTGTTTTTGTTTTCCCGTCTTTCCGGTGCAATGAAACGCCGAATTCGAGTTGAAAAGGCCAAGGAAAACCTCTCAAATATCCTCCGGCGTTTTCATTTTCCCGCCATTCTTCGTTCGTAATGGGAAAAAATCCGGGCCCGGCATTCGCGCCGCATCTGCGAGATTTTCGCGTATATATATTTTTGTTTAGCAAATCCGAAACCTACACTATATCTCGATTAATTCGCCTTGAAGGCTATAAATTTATTAGGTTCGCCTGTATAAATATCGCATTTACCATCAGGATGAAATAATCGAATGCGGGCCCCGACCTTTCCTTTATTCCTTGCGGATTAAAAACATTTCAAGGGATTTCCTCGACGAATATTACTCCCTTTAGATACATCCGGTTTTCCCGCATTATTTAGGCCAATCTTTGATACTTATACACTACACTACACCTAACACTATACTACCCTATATACACTGAAAAATAATGGATGTAATAGCTACACTACAGTATAATATTTTTCGATACTTATACACTACACTACACCTAACACTATACTACCCTATATACACTGAAAAATAATGGATGTAATAGCTACACTACAGTATAATATTTTTCGCTGGGGAAAAAACTATAAAATTAGGCGGCTTGGCGGGGTTGTTAAAGTATTTTTGCTGGAAAATCTTGTTTGAAATTGGTCGGAAAAGTTCGCTTTATCGGCATTTAGGAATCCATTCGGAAGCAATTTAAACTTTTCCCTTCCATTGTAATCTCCACCGTTATCGTCGTACGTTCAACGGGCGAGCGTGTTTACTTTATTTTTTCGATGTCCCGCGAAAAGGGAGTTTTCCGAACGGAAGTTTTCCACTAGATAATTGCCTGGACAAGGTATCGATTTCTTATGCAAGCTTATACAAGCTTTGTGTATTGAGGTAGGAGGTATCTTTGTGTAATACACCCTGTAATTTTTATCGTACTAAACATTATGTGATACAGGGTGGTCAAAGGTAAAAGGTATGTTGCGAGAAATGGAGAATTTTGACTACAACATTTCCAAACTGTATTTCAGAAAGCGTCAGGTTCATTTAAGAATGCGTCAATTGTATTTCAGAAAAGTCATTTCGATTTCAGAAAGCATCAATTGTATTTCAGAATAATAAATTTGATTTCAGAAAGCATCAGTTGTATTTCAGAATAGTCAGTTTGATTTCGGAAACGATCATTTGAATTTCGGAATTCTTCAATATCTATAGCTTTTCAATTTCAATTTTAGAAAAAAATATAAAGGTGTCAGTTCCAGAAGAATAATTTCGATTTTAGAAAAAAATATTTCAATTCCAGAGAAAAGTTGTTTCAAGTCCGAAAAAATAATATAAATTGTGGAGTGGACTGAGTTTTTCTTCTTCGTTAATAATTGTCATATGATTTTTGCATTCCAAATGGGACTCTGAAATCCTTTTGGCGGTTTCCGAAATATAAATGACACTTTCTGAAACACAAATGATAATTTCTTAAATACAATTGACTATTCTGAAATTTAATTAATGATTTCTGAAATCCAATTGACTATTCTAAAATTCAATTTATTATTTCTGAAATCAAGTTGACTATTCTGAAATACAAAGGATACTTTCCGAAATATAAGTGACTATTCCTAAATTCAATTGACGGTTTTTGAAATACAACTGGAAAAGGTGTAGTCCTGTAGGTCCTTTTTAATGGAATCTGGTTTGATATAAACGTAGTCGTTAAAACGGGTTTTTATATACCAAAAATTATACAAACTATTATAAACACTTCCTTTAAGTTTGTTGGGAAATTATTAATCGGAAAATTCGTCAGCTCCAACATTTCTGTCGTGTGTAAGACATCTCTCAATTGTATTGACATTTCATTTAGGTTACCCTCGCATTATTTTCCACATCGACAACTCCGTATTTGCGTTGTATTAACGACAGAATTTAACCCATTAAATTTCCTCCCTCGGAAAATTCACCTGTGGAATATTTACCCGTGCTTAATTTTTCTTTATTGATATTTTAATTCGCCTTTTAGGTCGCCTTTAATTCCACGAAGAATTAAATATCACTCCCTCACACGAGGCTACATATCGATTGATCCAAAATTAGATACGATGAATGTGTGTACATTTAACGGACCGGCATTAAATTCATTATAGTAAATTTTACGTAACTATCGAGCGCTCGTAATTATCTACAGGGTGCGACAAAAAGGTCAGGAGTTAATCGAAAAGTAGGCTAGTTATTTATCCATAAAAATCGGCCTATTTATAATGAAGCAACAATTCGAAACTGGAATACTGGGACACTTCAATATCATTTGTAACGGGAATAAACGCGCCTCCAGTCGCCTCCTGTTGTCGTATATCCTTTTATGTGTATCCTTTTATACCGGTCTGCACTTGCCTTTCGTTAGAGCCCTTTTGTAGTCTGGAAATCGAATCGAGAAATCAAAAGGAAATCCCCCTTTACAGGCGTTTATCGCTTCAAACGCCATCATAAATATTAATGGGGCCCGTAAATTAGACAAAGTCTCGACGTGGATCATAAAAAATATAAGTTTTTTCTTTCTTTCTTCTTCTCGTCTTTCTTTTTAAATTTTTATAACAAGTTTCTTATTGAATTACGATTAATATTGCTCATCTTTGCATTGCATTTATTACAGTTCGTACTTTTAGGTCGCAAAAAATAGTTCAAGTCCACCCTGTATATTCTCAAGTACATCTTGTGCATTGTCCAGAAACAATAAGAAAACTAATAGTCGTCTGGAAGAAAAAAATTGCTGTCGCCTGGGGTTTGTTAATAACCCGCAAAAACCGCTTCTGGTTCGTTAATTCTCTTTCCTTTCACGAGAAATAATTAAAAACTCGAGCGCGGAAAACTCCGGAAAACTCCCTCGTTCGGCTCCGGTAATAAAGTCCGGTTATTAATTAATCTTCGGAATATTATTAGCCATTATAGGGCTCTAATGGAGCGAACAGATATTCAGCATTTATGGAACAATTTTTGAATTGCTTAAACAAATTCGATAAACACCTATAGGAGCACTCCATTATAAAGGGAATAAAACGTTAAACACGAGAAAAGGGAAAGTGAAAATTGAAGGGGAAATAAAAGCGAGGCTTGGTAGGATTTTACGTAGTTATCTCGTTGCCGGGGGCTCACCGGATGTCTCACATGTTTGAGACACATTCACTTCGAAAGTTAACGAGCTTTCGACACAAAGCGTATGAAGTTTCCCTTTGTCGCACGTGTCGCGATTAGACCGGAAAATTTTCCAATATTCCGCTACAGTTAGATTGTATAATTTTTTTTATGTTATGTCCCAAACCTCACAGAAGGGCTCGTTAATTAGTTATTTGTACGGGGTGTCTATTAAGTGCTTGTACGAACTTTGAAGTGTATTCTTTTGAGCTTTAAATCGCTTCAAAACAGCTCCTTGAAGTTTGTAAAAGTACTCAATAAAACACACTGTATCTTGTTTGTTTTAAGGAAGGATTTATATTGAAGATTCAAAGGAAGGATTTGTGTATAACAGCCCGTTTCGGTCCTTCAAGGATGCGTTGTTTCTTGTCTTCGTCCTTTCGTTAAAATGTCGAAATAAGCCGATAGTAATAACGAGCAGTCTATGCGGGTTTTCGTTAAAAGTTAATAATACGTTTTTCCGGGCGATTTTCCTTCGACGCGAATTTACGGCTCGATTTCCTTGATCCCCCTTTATCTTATCTAATTTTACGAAAAAAATTCAATTACCATTCAGGACCTTCCTTCCTTCATCGTTCGTCCAGATCCCTCTAGTACATTAGCTCAGGGTCAAACTACTAAATACCCAATATTTTTATTTCTTCTCTTCACCGGCACACAAAAAATAGATTTACACAACGTTTTCCAGCAAAACAGAAATCGATTCATCATCGAAACATTCCTCGAGATCATTCCACCGGACCGCCCGAACCTCCCATTCGCCACATCAATGAATCCATGGAGGGGTTCTTCAACCACAGCCAGCTGGTTCAATCCTTCTACACCACCAACCAGGCGGACTTCGCCTCCGACAACATCACCGACAACGACGTCAACATCACCAGAACCTACTCCAGGTTGACCTCACCGTTGGCCGTCACCGTCGCCGTTCTGCTGGTGTTCCTATTCTCACCCATGATCCTTATAGGTAAGAACTCCAGGAGATACCCACCAATCGCACCACTAGGTACCTTCTAGATCTATACTTCATCCATCCAACCAAAACCAACGGAGTAACTAAAACAAGGTTAGACGCTGGATCAACGCGTGATCACCAGTGATTGGCCAGAGTAAGGAGGCTTTTTTGTTTGACCCAATAGATGCAAATGTTGTTGGTTGGATGGATGAAGTATAGTTATCTACATCAGTAGGTGCGTGTGTGAGAGGAAGAAAAGGTAGATAGTTAGGGAGGTAGAGATAAAGAGGTAGATATTGGTATCTATATCTTGGTCACAACATCTTGCTCTCTTCGAGTAGATCCTCTATGATTCTTAAATCAGTTGATCTAGGTATCTTCTAAATCTATACTTCATCCATTCAACCAAAACCAACGGAGTAACTAAAACAAGGCTAGACGCTGGATCAACGCGTGATCACCAGTGATTGGGCAGAGTAAGGAGGCTTTTTTATTTGACCCAATAGATGCAATTGTTGTTGGTTGGATGGATGAAGTATAGTTATCTACATCAGTAGGTGCGTGTGTAAGAGGAAGAAAAGGTAAATAGTTAGGGAGGTAGAGATAAAGAGGTAGATATTGGTATCTATATCTTGGTCACAACATCTTGCTCTCTTCGAGTAGATCCTCTATGATTCTTAAATCAGTTGATCTAGGTATCTTCTAAATCTATACTTCATCCATTCAACCAAAACCAACGGAGTAACTAAAACAAGGCTAGACGCTGGATCAACGCGTGATCACCAGTGATTGGGCAGAGTAAGGAGGCTTTTTTATTTGACCCAATAGATGCAAATGTTGTTGGTTGGATGGATGAAGTATAGTTATCTACATCAGTAGGTGCGTGTGTGAGAGAAAGAAAAGGTAAATAGTTAGGGAGGTAGAGATAAAGAGGTAGATATTGGTATCTATATCTTGGTCACTACATCTTGCTCTCTTCGAGTAGATCCTCTATGATTCTTAAATCAGTTGATCTAGGTATCTTCTAAATCTATACTTCATCCATTCAACCAAAACCAACGGAGTAACTAAAACAAGGCTAGACGCTGGATCAACGCGTGATCACCAGTGATTGGCAAGCGTAAGGAGGCTTTTTTATTTGACCCAATAGATGCAAATGTTGTTGGTTGGATGGATGAAGTATAGTTATCTACATCAGTAGGTGTGTGTGTGAGAGGAAGAAAAGGTAGATAGTTAGGGAGGTAGAGATAAAGAGGTAGATATTGGTATCTATATCTTGGTCACAACATCTTGCTCTCTTCGAGTAGATCCTCTATGATTCTTAAATCAGTTGATCTAGGTATCTTCTAAATCTATACTTCATCCATTCAACCAAAACCAACGGAGTAACTAAAACAAGGCTAGATGCTGGATCAACGCGTGATCACCAGTGATTGGCCAGAGTAAGGAGGCTTTTTTGTTTGACCCAATAGATGCAAATGTTGTTGGTTGGATGGATGAAGTATAGTTATCTACATCAGTAGGTGTGTGTGTGAGAGGAAGAAAAGGTAGATAGTTAGGGAGGTAGAGATAAAGAGGTAGATATTGGTATCTATATCTTGGTCTCTTCGAGTAGATCCTCTATGATTCTTAAATCAGTTGATCTAGGTATCTTCTAAATCTATACTTCATCCATTCAACCAAAACCAACGGAGTAACTAAAACAAGGCTAGACGCTGGATCAACGCGTGATCACCAGTGATTGGCCAGAGTAAGGAGGCTTTTTTATTTGACCCAATAGATGCAAATGTTGTTGGTTGGATGGATGAAGTATAGTTATCTACATCAGTAGGTGCGTGTGTAAGAGGAAGAAAAGGTAAATAGTTAGGGAGGTAGAGATAAAGAGGTAGATATTGGTATCTATATCCTGGCATCTACATCTTCGAGTGGATCCTCGACGATTCTTAAATCAGTTGATCTAGGTATCGTAGCTTCATCTAGTTATCTGTATATATGTTTGACCATCCCCGCAGGTAATTCCTTGTTCCTGGTGGCGATGTACAGGTTCAAGAGGCTCCGGACGCCCAGCAACTACCTCTTCATATCGCTGGCGACGTCCGATTTGGGCATCGGCATGTTCATGCCGGTGGGCATGTACCTCGAATTGGGCGGCGTCCAGACGCTGACGAGCGTGCGCGTCTGTCTGTTCAGCTACGGCGTCGCCATATCGTTGTGCTCGGTATCGGTGCTGGTGATGGTGGCCATCGCCGTCGATCGATTCACGTCGCTGGCGCGACCGTTGCGCTACAACAATCTGATCACCCATTCGGCGGTCGAGCGGTACATCGTCGTGTTTTGGGCGTACTCATCGCTGGTCGGATTCACCCCGCTCGGCTACTCCGTCTTGAATCACGCCGATCAATAGTGAGTATACCATTTTTTGCGTCGCCCTTGTCATCTGTCACTTGTCACCTGTCATCTGTCATCTGTCATCTGTCACTTGTCGTCTGTCACCTGTCACTTGTCATCTGTCACCTGTCGCTTGTCGCTTGTACAGTAAACATAAATGGTTTTTTTAGCACATTTTGGATATTTTTGCTATTTTTTTTGCATGTATTCGGGGCCTTTTACTAATTAGGCATCGAGTTGCACGGTATATATGTGTTGGTGGGTGTGCGTGGGCGATTCGATTTGTCGACGGGTAACTCTCGTTTCGATTTAATTTAGATTTATTAGGCGCAATTCGAGACCTATAAGGTCGTCCGATCGACGGAGATTTAAGGGTTGTTTGCCGGGGGGGATGGTCCCCCTTCCGGGCCGACTTCGACTTCGTTAATCGAAATTAACTGTTGAGAAAATTCGTAGGCAGAAGTGACGTGTTTAATATAGCTTGTTCTAATCGAATTGGATACATCTGGTGGTCCAAACATAACTGAAAAAAACTCCAACGGTGTTAAATCGGATAATCTTGAAGACCAATTGATGTAAATTTCAATTAGAGACAACAGGATCATTTGAATATTTCGTACAATAACAGTGAAATTTCACAAATTGTACCAACAACTGAACCTCAATGTTTCTCTCAAATGGCGGCAAACTAAATAGTGAATTTGGAGACACCCTGTAGAAATTAGATAATCTCAGGACGAACAAACAACAGATTTTTTTTGTGGCGCATGTTTACCCAAACACGTGTGTGGGTATATCGAACGAGTTTTCTCACACTTATCCCAATGCGTCGCGACGCCCCTTCGCTCGATTAGATAAGTCCTGCGACATTTCCGCTGCGCCCTCGGGAATACAGCCATTTAACGAAATTAGACTCCAACCGGAATTTCGAATTATCAAAGCCTCCGCCAATTGCGCACTTTAATCAAAATCCCACATCGAACCTCTTAGAGATCACCAACAAATCATCTTCTTGTATACCTCTAACCTCAACAAATGTAGCTTGGCAATGGAAAATTGGATTATGAAAGATGAACGAAGTTCAAAGATGACCTTCACTAAAATATTTCAACTGCCAAGTTATATTGGTTAAGGTATAATATACCCATAGACCTATTAATTTGGACGCGGTTTAGACAAAGAGGTAGTGTTGTCGATGAATGAGAGAGATGCAGCTAGTTTGGGCATATGGCAATGAGAGATTGGACAATGCATTAGCCAATAGTAAGAAAGCAAAAGACCACGTGAGTTACGTTTTCAGATATGCAAGGTAGCTGGGGTAGAGGAGGGTAGCTTATGGTAAAATAGGGTTGAGGAGTGCAGCGGAGGGTATTGTGATTTATTATTTTTTTGCCGAGCAAAATGCGTTTTACAGCTGAGCCTAAATTCCCACGCATTTGCAAATACAGTTCTTATTTTGTATTGTTATAATTGGAACATCCTACCTATTAGCCAGTACAGATTTCGCAATTTAAGACCTAGATGATTTCTCTTGTAAAAAATATGTTTCTTCCTGGTCATTCTTCTGTCCAAGTGGATACCAAGATAAAAACAATATTTAAATATTAAGCGTATAAATAATTTATCAGATTAATAGCCTTTTTGCACGCACCCTGTATATATTTTATATTTTTTTTGGTCCCGCCTACTTTTAGCCCAAACTAACTCCATCTCTCTATTATTGGGAACGCTGAATAACTTCAAAATAACGATTGTGCCGCTTCCATACCTAATAAGTCTATGAATATACATTTCCTTTACACACAAGAATTTATTCCAGCACCGAGATATGCTCCTTCGGAGTTCTAGTGGCGAAACCTATACAGTTGTTCATGTTCTGCGCCGTATACGGCCCATCGGCTCTAGTGCTACTAGTATGCTATGGTTACGTTTACATAGTAGCCAGAGGTCACGCCAGAGCCATTAGATCAGAAACCCGCCAGTCCACTCGCATTTCAACAGCCCCCCTAGGAGGCGCCGGTCCTCCTCGATACGGCCTGGCGCTCGCCATCACCACCGGAATGTTCCTGGTGCTCTGGTTACCCTTCCAGGTGAGTTACAATTGACGAATCTCTATAACCCAAATAGCAATTTTAGTAGCGGATACGTAAAGTCGACTTTCAAGTCATAGTTACATTAGACGATTACTACTTAATAACTACACCTTCACGTAGATGCGACTAAAATGGGGAAGATTTTCTCCGTAATTTTTACTACATAGTTACTTAAATAACTACGTAATGGCAACCACGTAGTTCCGTGGCAACAACGTTGAATTTCCGTAAATATTACTTCAAAGTAACTGCGATGAATCCTTCTTTCCGATTTTCTCGCTTTCTTTGTTTTTAGCAATTTACCATTTCGCTATACTATACTAACTTTTCCACTTTACAAAAATGTTTTGCAAGTACAGAAACAAGGAAGGCCATTAATAAATGCATCTATACTAATCTAGAAATTATTGCTACACGGTTTTAAACGTTTTCCGATATTAAAATTTAAAACGAATCTCAGTTTATTGATAAAGTCTGTCATGTTAGTTCTATAAAACAAAAGCGCCTGTCCAGAAATTGGTTTTATATCAATTGAGAAAAACAAAAAAAAATTAAAAAAATTTTTAAAATGATTTTTATAAATTATCTCTTCTATTTATTACTATTATATTATAGTTAAATGTCTTAATCAGTTTAATCAGCCTGGGAATGTAGAAAACATTGAACGAAAAATGGAATTAACAAACATTGACAATATGGCCGCGATTTTTTTACTGTAAAATATGGCGAATATTCGAACAAATGACTTTGTAGTAACGGTTCCTACTTTACGCAACTTTAAAGTAATGATTACTTATTAGAGAGTCAATGTAACTTCAAATTTCTACAACAAAGTTACCAGTTAGTTGCAGTTACTACGGAGTAGCGAATTTGGTAACAAAAACTACATTTTTACGTCTACGGTTACTTAGAAATAACTAAATTTTCCGGTAGTCATGTTTAGTTTCAGAAACGTAACTATAACTTCAAAATATACTCTAAAGTAATTATTACTTTCTAGTCATATTTTAGTAACTTGCCCAAGTAGTAGTTACTAACATTTATTACCAAAAAGTAGAATATACTTCAAAGAATATTAGAACGTTGTATATTACATACTTCTACTACATAAATGACAAATAAGGTAACTTTTAACGTTAATGCGACCTAACTGTTACTTCAAAAAAGACAGTATTGTAGTTTTTCCTTTTAATGCAACAATTTTAGGAAATACTTGGTTAAATTTACCATCAATAAATTTCGGCGACTTAAATCCAGTTTTTACTACTAAAATTGCTACTTGGGAAAGAACTATCTCGTCGTAACCAGGAGTTGTTCGACCAGGTGTGCATGCTAACGGACGTCTTCTTGGGCACCAACATCCTCACCGCTTGGATTTCGGTCTACCTGGCGCTTCCGATACTAGCCAGCAGCGCCTTCAACCCTTGGGTGTACGGCTACAGGAACTCGGAGCTGCGGCGCGCCGTCCGGCGTGTGGTCGACGACATGCTGGCCCTGCTGGGGTTCGCCCATCGCAGCCGCCGCCGGTCCTCCGATCAGGCGGCGCCGAGCGCGGCCGCCACCGCCGGCGACGCCGGCTCGTTCATCAACCACGTGCAGCGCGAGCGGTCGGAGCGGAAGGCGGTCGCCGCCGCCGCCGCCTCCGCCGGGGATTTCCTGCTGGTGCCGATGGCGCGGCCGGAGAGCTCCGGCGTGGCGTCGGATTGCGAGTCGCAGCGGATCGTCCTGATGGCGGACGCGCCGGTGAGGGTGCTGAAAGGGTCGAGGAGCATGGTGGAGAGCATCGCCGTGAGTCGGGGCTCGGACGTGGTGGTGGTGGCTGGGAGGGAGAGGGGCATGAGGCACGGGGTTAGTGTGTTGTGAGGATTGGGGTTGGGAATTTAGATAGGCCGGGAATTTTGCGCTATGTTCTACTCTAGGGTGAGTGGAGTGAGTGTACCGGTTGTAAATCAGGTTCCATTTCAAAGTTCAAGTATATAGGGTGTTTCACAAGTTATCCGACAAATTTTAATCACATATGCACTGTTATGAGAGAAGTTAATTTCCCAAAAAAAATTTAATAAAAGTCTTACAGAAATCGAGATAATAAAATAATAGTTTAACAGTTCAATTACTTATACCAGATGTTCAAAATTGTTCCTATTTACTGCAATGCAAGCTTGGGTGCTTGTTTTTTGTTTTAACGATTGTTTTGGTGCAACATTTGCTACAGTAAAGTATTAAGGCAAAATTATGAACGCAAAATGTAGTATTTATTTTTCAATTTTTTATTGAAACTCGGGTTTATAATTTTATTTCTGTAGGACTTTTATTACTTTTTTTTGAGAAATCAACTTCTCTCTCTTTGAGAAATCTCAAAAAAATGTAATAAAAGTCCTACAGAAATAAAATTATAAACCCGAGTTTCAATAAAAAATTGAAAAATAAATACTGCATTTTGCGTTCATAATTTTGCCTTAATACTTTACTGTAGCAAATGTTGCACCAAAACAATCGTTAAAACAAAAAAAAAAAACAAGCACCCAAGCTTGCATTGCAGTAAATGGGAACAATTTTGAACATCTTGTATAAGTAATTGAACTATTATTTTATTATCTCGATTTCTGTAAGACTTTTATTACATTTTTTTTGGGAAATTAACTTCTCTCGTAACAGTGCATATGTGGTTAAAATTTGTCGGATAAGTTGTGAAACACCCTGTATTTTGGTTAGGGAATTTCGGTGCACTGATTCGCGTATAGAGGAAAGGTGGAATAAATGGTACGTCATATCATTTGAACCTGTCGAATTTCCAAGTCAGGTGTACCAATTGCATCTGCTACCAACCTGATTCTAATGAATTCAATTATTATTAACTACTATCGTCGATTAAAGTTCTCGGTACTCTATTGTATTATTAGGTAATCTAGTTGTAAAAATGAAGCCAAATTTTTGCGTAGGTAAAAACCAAAATTGCCAAAAACCAACACAAACCGTTTTAAATTTTGGGTATTTTAAAGAGATTTATTAAAATAAATGGGTATTTTTGTCGAAGTAAATGTGATTGAGAAATCGAAGCTACAAAATCGGACCACAAGGTTGACAATGTTGAGATTTTTTATGAGAAAACTGTTTTAGAATGTTTAAAAGAAAAATTGATGCGATCTCTATGTAATTTTTGATTGATTAAATTATTTTTCTATGAGCGTTTATTGCGTATAATTAATCTAATCCTGTCGAAACCTGTATATATCTAAATAATTTTATTTTATATACTTTACAAATACTTAATCCGAAGAAATCTATCACCATATACCTACAATACTCTACTCTACTCGTTGGGCGTGACTTACCCTGTATAAATAAGCTCTAAATTATTACCAATACTTTTACTCAATAGTCTCCAGTATTTTCGAACCTTCTCGAACGAAATAATCCAGAAATTTCGTCCACGCCTGCCTTTCCTGGACCTTCATAAACCCGAACACGTCCAAAAGCGCCCGTTTTACGTCCTATAAAACCAAAACGCACCGTTGCCAAATCACACAAATTTCCCTAAAACCCCATCCACCACATACGTACTTCCAAAGCTCGTCGATCGACCGATCTCTTGGCGTGGTTCTCGCACAATTTCCTTATAATACAATTCAACACCTCCGAATCGTCCAAATTTTTCACCATGGAACTCAAGGAGTACATCACGCTGGTGACGTGAGCGTGGAATTTCTTATCCGTCGGCAACTCCTCCATGGGCTGGTCCCGAAACGGGAACGCTCTTTTGTGCTTCGGTTCGATCTCGAATAATCTGCAAATCAAAGTGACCGCTGAACGGGAGTGTAAAGGATTTTGACAAGTATGACAGTTGGATGAAATCGATTATCGCGTTAGAAACTATAATAATCTACAGTCAAAGTGCTATTTAGCTATTTAGAACTGTTCAGAATCGTTTAGAACTAACTAGAACCATTCGAAAAAGTTTAGGACAATCCTAGAAACTCTCCAAAATAATTGGATTATTTGGAATTCAGGTGTAGTAAATAAACTACAAAATTCGAGAACCATTTATAATGTTTTAAAAGGACTATTTAGAACTTTTTTTGAAAGACTATTTAGAAATTTTAAATTGAAAAATCGACTGATTTCGTAAAATAATCCCAAATTTGTAAAATGTAAAAGTGCGAAAAGGGAACGCTCTTTTGTGCTTCGGTTCGATCTCGAATAATCTGCAAATCAAAGTGACCGCTGAACGGGAGTCTAAAGGATTTTGACAAGTATGACAGTTGGATGAAATCGATTATCGCGTTAGAAACTATAATAATCTACAGTCAAAGTGCTATTTAGCTATTTAGAACTGTTCAGAATCGTTTAGAACTAACTAGAACCATTCGAAAAAGTTTAGGACAATCCTAGAAACTCTCCAAAATAATTGGATTATTTGGAATTCAGGTGTAGTAAATAAACTACAAAATTCGAGAACCATTTATAATGTTTTAAAAGGACTATTTAGAACTTTTTTTGAAAGACTATTTAGAAATTTTAAATTGAAAAATCGACTGATTTCGTAAAATAATCCCAAATTTGTAAAATGTAAAAGTGCGAAAAGGGAACGCTCTTTTGTGCTTCGGTTCGATCTCGAATAATCTGCAAATCAAAGTGACCGCTGAACGGGAGTCTAAAGGATTTTGACAAGTATGACAGTTGGATGAAATCGATTATCGCGTTAGAAACTATAATAATCTACAGTCAAAGTGCTATTTAGCTATTTAGAACTGTTCAGAATCGTTTAGAACTAACTAGAACCATTCGAAAAAGTTTAGGACAATCCTAGAAACTCTCCAAAATAATTGGATTATTTGGAATTCAGGTGTAGTAAATAAACTACAAAATTCGAGAACCATTTATAATGTTTTAAAAGGACTATTTAGAACTTTTTTTGAAAGACTATTTAGAAATTTTAAATTGAAAAATCGACTGATTTCGTAAAATAATCCCAAATTTGTAAAATGTAAAAGTGCGAAACGGGAACGCTCTTTTGTGCTTCGGTTCGATCTCGAATAATCTGCAAATCAAAGTGACCGCTGAACGGGAGTGTAAAGGATTTTGACAAGTATGACAGTTGGATGAAATCGATTATCGCGTTAGAAACTATAATAATCTACAATCAAAGTGACCACTGAAGGGAATGTAAAGGAAGCGTTATTTGACAAGTATGACACTTTGATGAACTCTAATATCGCTTTAGAAAAAACGATAATCTTCAATCAAAGTGACCAGTGAAGGGAATGTATTGGAAGTAAGTACCTATTATAGTTGGATGAACTCGATTATCGCTTTTAGAAAAGAGGATAATCTACAATCAAAGTGACCAGTGAAGAGAATGTAAAAGATTTTGACAAGTATGACAGTTGGATGAAATCGATTATCGCTTTAGAAAATAGAATAATTTACAATCAAAGTGACCACTGAGGGGAACGTGAAGGAAGCGTTATTTGACAAGTATGACACTTGGATTTGGATGAACACGATTATCGCTTTAGAAAAAACGATAATCTTCAATCAAAGTGACCAGTGAAGGAAATGTATAGGAAGTGTTATTTAACAAGTACCTATGATAGTTGGATGAACTCGATTATCGCTTTAGAAAAAACGATAATCTTCAATCAAAGTGACCAGTGAAGGAAATATATAGGAAGTTTTATTAAACAAGTACCTATGATAGTTGGATGAACTCGATTATCGCTTTAGAAAAAACGATAATCTTCAATCAAAGTGACCAGTGAAGGAAATGTATAGGAAGTGTTATTTAACAAGTACCTATGATAGTTGGATGAACTCGATTATCGCTTTTAGAAAAAAGGGTAATCTACAATCAAAGTGACCAGTGAAGATAATGTAAAGGATTTTGACAAGTATGACAGTTGTAGAAACTCAATTATCGCTTTAGAAAAAACGATAAACTACAATCAAAGTGACCACTGAAGGGAATGTAAAGAAAGTGTTATTTGACAATTATGACAGTTGTATTAAGATTCTCACTTTAGAAAGAAGGATACTCCGTTTCGGGTGGGATCGTCCATTACGATTCGCCAGGTTGTGTTTATTAAATATTTATCTCGGGAAGTTAATCCTGTAACAGGGTCAGGATCGTCCGTTTTGCCTCTATCGATCAGCCCATAACTCAGCAGAGCTCCCATGGTATGAGACTGGCGAATGCAAGAATATCTGGAATGATCGGTGATAATTGCGGCCATTTTCTTTTCGCTCGTGAATCGAGGAAAGGTGAGTAAAAAATATTGCTAATATATGTTAAAAGAATTGGTATAATTACAAGATTTTGAGTAATTTATACACGACATATTGGTTAGTGGAGTTTAAAATAGTACAAAATATTAATAAAAAATACGTAATATTAATTGGAAAAATGATATACGTAATTAAATGTTAGTTGTCCGCCAGAGCTTTGGTAATTACAGTAAAAACAACTTCTAAAGCTTTCTTCCACGCTTCGACTTCCTCCTTTTTCATAATTTTCCCGAACAATTCCAACATAGTTTCCTTCAATTGCTAAAACAATCATACACCGTCAATCAATTTTTTCGACATTTCAATACTCTTTTTTATACTCACGCCACTACGAGGGTAACGCGAATAGTACTATTAAAAAAAAACATCGGCTTACCATGAATAGTTCGTTTGTGACATTTCGAGGAGCGTGCGATCGACCGACCTTCTCCAAAATCGGCACCAACAAATCGATGTTATCTACCGAATCTACAATGGAGGCGACGGCGTATATCACAGAATTGCAGTGAGCCCGGAATCTCGCGTTAGTGGACAATTCCGCCGTCGGTACGTCTTTGAACGGGAACACTCCCTTTGCGTCCGGGAATTTCTCGAAATATCTGGAAAATCGAAATGTCAAACGTCGAATGTCAATTGTGTCAAACGTCACACTTCGAATGTCAATTGTGTCAAACGTCATACTTCGAATGTCAATTGTGTCAAACGTCAAACTTCGAATGTCAAATGTCGCTTAATTCGAAATTACGTACAAAACGAGTAAAGCAACGCCGTTGTCTGTAGGTGATTCCATGATGTTGGCCCAGGTGGATTTGATGAGGTATCTATCTCTGGATGTTAGACCCGTGGTGGGATCGGGATCGTCCGTTCTTCCCGTTCGATTCGATCCTCTCCAGCTCCATACGCCTCCCATTTTATTCGAAACTACCGGAATTACAAGGGATTTTAGTTTGGAAAAGCTCGCTTATCGAGGTAAGTGCATTTGAATTTTGACAGATTTGACAGGTGTAGGTGTCATTTAGACAGATGTCACTGAGTCATTTTTTAACAGTGAAATGTACTTATTCTAGCACACGAAAACTCTTACCAACGATTATAAAAATATAAAGGAATTTAAAACTTTTAGTAAACATATGTTGATGAAAAAGTAAACTGACAAATGAAAATGAGCTATGCACTAGTTTTTTTTTCATTTTTGTATAAGAATAATGGAATTTTACTTAGTACATAAACTGTGGGATGGTGAAGAATTTTAATCAACTTTTTAATTAGAAATTTGTAATTGTCTTGTAACAGGGTTGGACTCGGTAAATAATAATAATAGAGAATATAACAATGTCAGAGAGAAAATTTTATTAAACGTTCGCTTGGAAATATTGCGAAAATAGGCATCGAATAATTCGATATAAATATATCTGACCTTCGTGACATGAATGCATAATTTAAATCAATATCGGATTTTATTATACGCTACAAAATAAAATTATTTAAGTAATTATTGCGCAACGTTCCTGTCAAAAACGTAGAATAACTTGAAGATATCCAATTCCGTGTTAAGTGGAAATTCCAAAATGACTCAGTGATAAGAATTTTTCGTATTACAAATAAGGGATGCATCTACTTACTCTTATCTTATATAATTTTTATTTTCCCATTGATAATAATCCAATCGATTCAACTCTAATAAATAATTATACTTATATACGAGGGGTATACTAAAACTATACGAATAAAAAATCGTCGATTTTTCATCAAACAATCACATAACAAATCGCTTACAACACACTTTTCGACTGCACTCCGTCCGTGATCCACATTTTAATTTACCACATCTCCATCTATTATTACGGTTTTTCGCCGTCGTCGTTCGACAAACATTAAATAGGAAGCACCGAGCACTTCACGTTGTCAAAAATTTTATTTGATAAACTTGACGTGCCCTCTCGCCCGTCCGACATCGAATCTTCTTCGACTATATTATGTATAAAACGGGACCAATTTTTAATGGTTTTCTGTTTCGTAGGTCACAATTTTCATTAGAATGTATAGCGCGATTGTTCGAGCGGGATTATTGCTATTCGCGCGGAATTAACGCGTGTACAGGATGTTCTATTCAGCCCGCGTTGAATTCGGAAATATTACGAAATATATACGGCGTGTAAAAATTTTAATGATAGGGGGGACACTCTCTATAATACGACTGTGAGAAAGATTATTGTAATATCGCTTGAACAGAAGGAAGATGCTACTATAATTGAACTATTAGTTTTAGAATCATTGAGAATCGTTCAAAACCATTTAGAACTCTCCGAAATTATTTAGAGCTGTTTTAGAACTGTCTAGTACCATTTGAAATAGTTTAGGACGAACTTAGAACTGTTCAAAACCATTTAGAATTGTATAAAAGCAGTTAGAACTGACCATTTGAAATAGTTCAGAGCGATTTTAGAACTGTTCAAAACCATTTAGAACTGTCCAGAATCATTTAGAACTGACTATAGGATCATTTGAAGTAGTTCAGTACGAATTTAGAATTGTTCGAAGCTATTTAGAACTGTTCAGAATCGTTTAGAACTAACTAGAACCATTCGAAAAAGTTTAGGACGAACTTAGAACTGTTCAAAACCATTTAGAATTGTCCAAAAGCAGTTAGAACTGACCATTTGAAATAGTTCAGAGCGATTTTAGAACTGTTCAAAACCATTTAGAACTGTCCAGAATCATTTAGAACTGACTATAGGATCATTTGAAGTAGTTCAGTGCGAATTAAGAATTGTTCGAAGCTATTTAGAACTGTTCAGAATCGTTTAGAACTAACTAGAACCATTCGAAAAAGTTTAGGACAATCCTAGAAAGTCTCCAAAATAATTGGATTATTTGAAATTCAGGTCTAGTAAATAAACTAGAAAACTCGAGAACCATTTATAATGTTTTAAAAGGACTATTTGGAACTTTTTTTGAATGACTATTTAGAAATTTTAAATTGAAAAATCGACTGATTTCGTAAAATAATCCCAAATTTGTAAAATGTAAAAGTGCCAATTCACAGTATTTATCCCATAAACAAGCAGAGTTGATAATAGAAATTAAACAAAACGGAATACCCGATAAAAAATATTTATTATGTGGAGTATATAATTCGCGTGGAAATAATATTATTGCGTGTCGTTCGTTGTGGATGCGATTTTCCTATCATTGGGAAAATCTATACGAAACAATAGGCGTGCTAGTGACAATTTGAAATATTATTTCAATGCCACAGAAATGTTTGTAATTCTGGATATTTAAAATCGTATTAACGAGAGAACGATAAATATATATTAATCTTTCGCCTTGAACTTATTTAATTCGTCTCGTAAATAAGCAATAAGAATAACAATAATAATAACAGCGGATTAGGCAATTTTCAACCGAATTTCATTGTGGATAATTTTTTTTTATTAATTACATATTGTGCGAGTAATTTTTGCGCGCTAAATTCTGTAGAAATGAACCAAAATAACGAGAAATTTGAGCTATTGAAACAATCCACACATTTTTAGAATCTGGTACCATTCCAACATTTTTCAAACCAAATTCAGTTCAATCAAATCGCAATATAACGCATTGAAACTAACGAGAGAATAAAAAAAAAATAGGCCAAACTACTTACAATATAATCTTAATAATTTCGGTCTTTGGTCACTCACTGTGGTCGACAATCGACTGAATTCCGAAGCCTCTCTAAACTTCAAAGTTCACCGGAATGGAAATGGATATTATACTCGTATATCGTAATGTAAAATGTTTAATTGCCACGCAATAACAAATACGTTCGTAACGTATCTATCAATAAACGATTAGGAAGACGATAAGGACCTGACTAGTTTATTAAGTGCACGAACAGTTTGCGATGATTTGTATTTGTATGCTCAAGATTTACGATTTATCAAGGTTTCAATGCGTGAATATCCGATTGTTCGGTTACTTATTTCAGTTACTAATTAGTTTCAAATATTAGATAATTATATTGTTTATTTAACAAAGAATACATCTACAATTTATAATATACTACTGGAATATTAATAAACTATAAACTCATAACAAACTCATACAAAAACTTAATTAACGCGGCATTTTCCTCTTGGGTTTTTAGCGACTACGAATTATCTAATAACGCTCTTATAATTTTACTCTAAAATTTTAATATTAAAAGGAAAAGGAATATTAATAAACTATAAACTCATAACTCATATAAAAACTCATACAAAAACTTAACGCGGCATTTTCCTCTTGGGTTTTAACCGGCTACGAATTATCTAATAACGCTTTATTTTACTCTAAAATTTTAGAGTTTTTATATGAGTTTGTTATGAGTTTATAGTTTATTAATATTCCTTTATCTTTATATAAATATAAACAAAGGACGATGATTTACTAAAATTATATACATATTATTTACTGGGCTGGGCGGAGTGATTAGACTTCATTTCCATTTTCTTTATCTGTTCCACTAGTTCCTGGTGCTCGTCGAGGAGCTTATTAAATTTTGCCTTCCTAAGCTTCCTCTCAGTCTGAAAAAAATAAGATTTAATTTCATTTGGTATCACCGATTTTTTTCCTGAAATAGTTTTAGAAATACCAACTAGATAAAGTGTTTGGCCCAACGGTTACAAATCTGGTCGATATCAGGTTTATACTTACTATAATATCTTTAATTACTGCAGTTTCAACTCCACCATTAATATCAGACAGCTCAGGAGTTTTGTAATCTTTTCCTGTTGATTTTTCCATCTGCTTATCACAAATTACTTCGTTTTCTGCTTCTATTTCATTTTCAAATTTTTTTGCAATTAAATCATTCGATTTGACTTGCTCAATCTGGATTCTGAAAATACAATTTAATGTTTAATACTTTTAATGACATTTTTTCATAATTTTATGTTCCCCCACCAATCAAGACTCTATTCAGAATGGTTTAGAATCGTTGAGAACCATTTTACTACCGACTAGAACCATTTAAAACGGCTCTGGACAATTAGAGGCATTTAGAACTGTCCAAAATTATTTGGAATATTGTCAGAACTATTTGGAACAGTCCAAGATAATTTAGAAAACCCGAGAACTAGGTGTCTTAGAACTATTTAGAACTTTTCAAAATCATTTAGAACAAATTCCAAAGAAACCTCCACAACTTTTAACTTTATTTTTATTAACAATATCTTGTAGAGTATCTGCCCTGGAATTGAATGAATTATTTCTAAAGAAGACACTTTAATTTAATGAAGTACTTTTAATTAAAATAAATAATGTCAGAGGATATTTAGCAGCCGTTAGATAATTGGAATAGCAGCTTTAAAATAATGTTTTCGCGACGATTCGATGTTTTAAGGGATTTATTCGTTATCTATACACTTTAGGTTGTCGAATTGAAAACGTGACAATACTAAATTGATTTCGTAAATTAACTGGATATATTTATTTTTAATTAAAATTAACAAGGCTTTTAAGATACGATGACGTCACAAGCTGCTTATATTGACTGGACTATATGCAAAAATTTGATATGGTCACCCAGTGTGATTTCATTACTATATTAACTGATCCAATAGTTACTGGTATTTAGAGTAAATTACTATTAATATTACTATTACTTTTACTCTACTATAGTATGAAATATTTTCTTCTACTGATTTGGTAAATTCTTTCCATCTCCTTGCTGGAATAAATGTATATTGTATAAATGGAAATTTGGGTATTTTTCCTTTTGAATAATGTTTAAAAGATGAGTGTATAACGTTTAGATAATGTGTTATTGCAACAAACTGGTTGCCCGTAAATCCCATTAAAACAACACGAGCCATTTGGAAAAATAGATTTTCCCTTTGTTTAACTTTATTTCCGTTTATTTTCAATGGAAAAATTACAAGGCACGCGCGCCCTAAAAAATAAAATCTCGTCAAAATGGAAATGCACTAATTTGGTATTTAATAAATAAATTTAAGATAGATTTCATTAATAAATAAGAAGCTTTTAAATACATAAATGTAGTTGTACCTACAAATTTATGTATAGATTTTTAAGAAACTTGTTTCACCCATGATAACATTAACATTATAATCACCTCTTTTGTAAGAAGATATATTACACCGACAAACAAGTAAAAGTACAATTAAATTAGCTTTGTCGAGAAGTTGGAGAAAAAAAAGGGGAAATCTATTAAGAAATTTACGCCACGCTGGCTTCGATCGATTCCCCAAAAACTCCCGAGTTTCCCGAGTTTTCCGACGAGTTTCGCCTCTGCTATATTTTCTAGGTCGCGAATTCTAATTCCCCTTTGATTATTCACTCCGCATATTTCCCGATTTCGGAGTTTTCCCGATCTCGGAAAATTGATATCTTTCCAAGCTTCTACCAGACTTTTGTTCTCGATTTTCGAGAGTCATCGAGTGAAAGTTGCGCGAAGCGAAGGTCAAGTTCGTGCGGAAAATTTACGAGAAAAAAGTTAATGGCATGCTTAATAGATGTTATTATTGTATTATACTGTTTATTGAACTTACTTGAAGAGTGTCCCGTTGGGTAAAATGTATTTATTTAGTTCCCTTGGCATTTTGGAATTATTTTATTTCAACAAGTACTACAATAATTGTGAAGGAAACGAACGATTTAAATTGGAATATAGGATTTCTGGTACTCGTTTTATTCTAATAAATTACACAAAAAACTGTATTTTTATAATCCATTGGTGGAGTTGTAGTAAAAATATTGATACAAATACAAAGTTAAATTTATTTAACGGCATAAAATAGTGAAAAATTGATAATAATTTCGTACCGATTTTTTTATAGGATATTGAACTCACATGATCGATAAGACGAGTAAAATCGGTAAATTTCTGGAATTACCTACCAAATTTTTCCATATCGATTTGCAAATGTTAGAATTCGTAATCTCGAACAAAACTCAACGAAAGGCGTAATTGCACTTAATAAACTAGAGTCTACCAATGAAGATATAATTTTGCACTGCACTTTATTAATAACAAAATGATAGATTCATTAATTTTTAACCTATACCTACTCGAGGAATCGATAATTGATAATCAATCGATAACCGAGATAATCGAATAAATAGCTGGTTTTTTTCGCTATCATTACCTCAATGACATCCATTCGATTCATCAGGTACTCACACAAAGGTGAACTGTATAATACGAAATAAAAGGCCAAAATAAAACATCAATATTTAATTAAAGAACAATAATAAAGTAAACAATAAGAATGAAAATGCCTAATGTACAATCGCGAGAACAGTTAATACAGAATTACCCGGAAAAGTAATAAGTTTTAACAATCCCAAAAGTTTTCGATTGCGATTCGGATACGAGGGTGGGTGAAATTGTATATTTATATTATTTATTTATTTATTTATTTATTTATTGAGCAACACTTAAAAAGTACGCTAAAAAAATAAATGCAAGCATTAAATGAAGATATACGGGGTCCGCTGGGCAAAACTGGACGTAGTAGTAGCCTTTGTACTTAAAAAAATGCTTTCAAGAAGATTAAAGAGTTGTGGAAGTCGGGAAAAGGAATATTACCTAAGAAAAATTAAAAAAACAATGAATTATATGAAGGTGTTTAAAAAATTAAAAATTGCACAATGCAAAAAAAAGATAATGGATTAACGAAATGGTAATGAGGCAAGTAGGTTTCTAGTAAAAAAACATAAAAAAGAGCTTCAACAACCTAAAAAAGTACTTGAATTGCGTGTTCAATCCAGTTCCGGCAGCAAACAAACCCCCATTTCCGAAGATTTATCTACCACCCCCCGTATACACGGCAATTATCAAAAAAAAACTTTAACTTACTTAAACATAAGACTTTTCGAAATTAGTGTAGGATAGTGTAGTTGTAGGGTATACCGGTAAATGTAGGGTAGTGTATACGGCTTGGATAGGGTAATATAGGATAGGGTAGTAATTAAAAACCCTTATTGCTCGTCATCGGATTGCACCGGCGTATCTTCCGCGATGGCCGGCTCTTCTTCCTCCTCCTCGTTCTCATCCTGCTGCTGTTCCATCTGCGCCATCTCGAACTTCTGCTGGATGAGCTCGTCCATCTCCCTCTGCTTCCTCGCGTCCTCGTCCTCCTCCTCCTCTTCGACGTCGCCGCCGTTCTCCGCCTCCCGCGACTTTTCCTCGCCCTCCGAAGCCTCCAATTCGGCTTGCTGTCGCTCCAATTCGGCCAACTCGGCCTCCTGTCGCTCCAGCTCCTCGAGCTCCGCCTGCTGCCTGGCCAGCTCCTCTTCGGCCCGTCGCGCCTCCTCGTCGCTGGTCTTCTGGATCAGCTCTTCCTCCGGCGGGGCGTCCTCTTCGGCCGCCGCCTCCAATTCCCTTCTGGCTATTTCGTCGGCTTCGCGCTTCGCCGCCTCCTCGGCTTCCAGCCGGGCCGCTTCCGCCTCATCGGCCAGCTCCTTCTCCTTTCCTACATCGAACGCGATCAATTCCAAACTCCTCTCTAAAAGCAAAACGAACTTACTTTCGAGCTCGTCGAGCTCGGCTTGTTGTCGCTCCAGCTCGGCCAGTTCGCGTTGTTGGCGCTCCAATTCGGCGGCTTCGGCCTCCTGCTTGGCTTGCTCCGCCAATTCGGCCTCCTGTCTCGCCAGTTCGGCAAGCTCTTCGGCTTGCCGCGCGAGCTCGGCCTCTTCCTCTTCCTTCGCTTGGCGCGCCAGCTCCTCGAGGCGCTCCTGCTGCTTCCTGACCTCCTCGGCTCTGGCTTCCTCGTCGAGGCGGCGTTGTTCCTCTTGGCGCTGGCGCTCCTCTTCGGCTTGGCGGGCGCGCTCGATTTCCGCCTTTAATGGAGTCGAATTAGATTAGATTTCGCGTTATTATAGGAATAATTGCGTGGTTTACTTGTTTTTCGAGTTCTTGTTGTCTGGCTAGTTCGGCTTGTCGTTCGAGTTCGGCCGCTTTGGCTGCGAGTTGTTCTTGCTTGGCGATTTCTTCTAGTCTTTCGGCTTCTTGTCGGGCTAGTTCGGCTTTTTTGGCTTCTTCGGCTTTCTTGGCCAAGGCTTCCTGTCTGGATTGTTCCTCGGCTAGAATCCTGTAATGTTGCGAAATATGCGAATATTACTACAAAGTATATGTAAAAATTCATCACAAATTACACAACAATTAATCATCAAAAATTTCAATCGAGGGAGGCGAATTAAATTCGTTATGTGCTCCCTATCCGGTTTCTTGCCAATTCGGTTCAAACTCACTTCTCCTCAGCTAACCTCTCTTCCTCTTTCTTCTTCTTGGCCTTGACGGCGTCGTCTACAGCCACCGAGGCCCTGCTTGGCTTGTCCTCTTCGTTGATGAAGGCCAGCCGGGCCGCTCGGGCTTCCCGGAGTTTGCGCATCTCCTTGGCCGATTCCTCGTCATCTTCTATCCGCTGGCCGGCGAATTTGCGAGAAGGCCGAGCGGGGTTCAGGGGAACTGAAAAACGATTGGGATTTTAATGATTTTCGCGGTGAAAGTGGGTTGAAAAATATTTTTTTTTGGTATGTATATGGAAGAAAAGTTGATGCGATTTTTCAACCTGGAATTACTTACTTATTTCGATGAAATAAGAGCTGTGAAATGGAAGGAAATTTGTGTAATATACATCTTACCTTAGGGTTTATTTCGTATTTTTAGTAGACGCCGAAAGTTTTGCTAATTGCTAATTAAAATCCATTACTTATTATTAGTAAAACTGTCTTGCTAATTCCTAAATGTAATTTACTTTTATTATTTCGAAATTAATTAGTAAAACTTTAAGTGTTTTCTACTAACATTAGGTAATTAGAGGTAATAAAACGAAGCGCTAAAGAAAAATAAATTTTATTTCCAACATGGTTAAACAGAGTGCCATCCAATTTATAAATTTTTCACGTGCATTTCTACCCCTAAAGAGAAAAAAAGTAAACCTAGCAAACCTAAAATCAACATGGCAGTAGGTCGAAAAATAAAACGTGTATCAAAAATACAATTTCCAAAACGTCGCCAACACACACAAAAAAGTAGTAAAGAAAATATATCGAAAAAATCATTCATCGTAAAATAGAAATAATATATAGGTTCGCATTTATCCGGTTGTTATTCAGTGATTTCGGTTATCTCCGGCTTATCTTCCGCCGTTTCCGAGTAGTCTGTTTTCTCGGTGTATTCGTAACTCTCGGATTTTTCGATTTTCCCACTTTTTTCCGCTGGAAGTAAAAGAAAACCGACAACGTCAATACACACACAGTTAGAAACAAATTGGAAACAGAAGCGGTGATTTGTCTTGTTAGCGCCGGATTAATTCTATATTTACAGGGGCAATGTGATATATACAGGGTGAATCACGCTTCAGATGTGTATGTTGGTTGTAATTTAAAATTAATTAGACGTATAAATGTTGTCTAAATAAAATTACTGTAGGTACTTGGTCTATTTGAGCATCACTCAACCTGTATATGTAGTTTCTTAATGTAATAAATTCAGCTAATTTATTAAAAAAAATGTCGGTGATAAATGTGTAGAAATTACATCATTTGGTAGGTAAATTTGATGAGGCTTGAATGAGGCTTTGATGAGGTACAGATGGAAAATAGACGATAGATAAGAGTGTATTAATTTTGTAATCCAAGTACATCAATTACAGTGTAAACCAATTTACTCTAAATGTAACCAATGTAATAATATACCCACTAATAACCACCAAAGTTAATGAACCAATAACGAATGTTAATAGAAAAAAAAACAAAGTTGGTAATAAAACAACTTTAAAAGTGAGATTACAAAATCTATTTAGTTCATACGAAAAACCCCTTCTCATGGAACCTGCGAAATGTACCGCTCTCAATTTACCAGGAAACAACCTGATCAAAAACCACCACGAAAACTCACCTTTAGCGGGCTCCCCAGCGCCCGTCAGGGCCTTCTCCTGTTTGAACTTGTTGATGTAGTAGCTCATCAATTGGATGTCGCTCTTGAGCGGATCCTCGTAGAGGTAAACGTGAGGCCGACGGCTGTAGGCTCTATCGCCTGCGTACGAGACACATGCTAGATGACCGGCTCCTGGGACATACACAACAACGGGCTCTTGCATATGCCAGGAGGAATGGGGGAAAACCCGCCTCTGCTGTTGCTGCTGATGCTGCTGATGCTGCTGCTTTGTAGCCATGCTCGAGTTAGCCTGGTGTTAGTTACATTTCGTGTGCGCCTCGTATATACATTGTGTCTACTTAAGTTCGCACCATATGGAAAACTTTTTTATTATTAATTTTACGATAAAAGTTATTCTTCATAAAAAGTTCTGCATGTTTTGAAACCTAAAATACAATCATCAGATATCTAATTTTTTCAGTCGTATACGAGGTTTGTCAGAAAATATGAATTTTGCTCAAAAGTAAAGTAAATCTATTTTTGAAAATATTGGAAATTGTTATCCTTTATCTCTTTATTCGTTAAAAATTTGATTACATTTACATCTCTTAACCTCTATGTTGCATTAGTTTGATTATGCATTGAAATAAATGATAACAAAATAAAATATTTTAAAATAATTATCGACTACATAAAAACATTGCTAAGTGTTGATAGTTTAAAGAAGAAAAATAGATTACTTACTTATAATTGGATGTAATTACATATTTGAACGTAATTTTTAGTCCTGATCAACTTTTCTTAATAACAATTTCCGATATTTTCAAAAATAAAGGTACTTTACTCTTGAGCAAAAAACACATTTTTTGACAAACCTCGTATACGGATTAAAAAAATTGTTATCTGATGGTTGTATTTTAGGTTTTAAAACATGCAGGACTTTTTATGAAGAATAACTTTTTTTCGTAAAATTAATAATAAAAAAAGTTTTTCATATGGTGCGAACTTAAGTAGACACACTGTATATAGGGTGAAGCAACTATATTGGGATACATTGGGTTAACTATGGATGTGTAAATTCTTCTGTGACATCTTCCAATGTTGTTGGGACACGCTGTATATCGCGTGATAGAAAGGTGTATGGTGGAGAGGATATTGTGTTAGTGTTAGTCCTTATGTGTAAGATGCTGTAGAAAATAGGAAATAAGGGCAAGGATAACGGATCCTGTCGGGACTGTTTCCTTCTCGCGAAAAGGACGAACGTATAAAAACCGGTTTTATTCGTCTTAAAAAAGCCACTTTTCTTGTTCAACGTAACGCTTCCATACAATCTGCTCGAGATATTAGAGGTCGTAAAATATCGAACGATCTCGTTTCGTATCGAAGAAAAACGCGTAAAATGTTCGTATATAGAGAGATAATTAAAAAATACGCCGCCTTACCTATTTATTAAACACGCTAAACACATTACAAAATAGAGGAATTTCCTTTCGCTTCAAGCGTAAGCCCAAAAGAAGCTTGAAAAAAGCTGTTAAAGTTGCTGCTGGTGCTCGTTATAAAAAGCGGTTTTTCGCCCATCCGATTGGTCTGCGATGCGTTCGAAACGATCGATTTTCCCGGGCCACCCCTTTTCCGAGCTTACAACAACAATTAACGGATCCACCGTGGACATCAGGAAGGCTCAAAAACTCTAAATTTCTAATCAGTACCGCCCTGTATACGTGTATCAATTACACACCCTGTGTACTCACTCACTCAACTGTACCTCGTCAAACGCAGCTTGGCAGTTGGTGTAATTAAGAAAAAAATAATGAAGGAAGGGTAGGTGGTATTTATTAATCGAAGAGTAAATATTGAAGGATTTCCAGTGGCGTAGTTGATTTAATAATACAAGGTGTCCAGAAAATAGATGTCAATAATTCGGGAGCGTATAAATGACATCAAAATAATGGTACAACTTCATATAAATTTTATTAATTTGAGCACCCATTTTTGAGCTAGAGGCCTTTAAAGTTGAAAATTCAAACTTATCTTTATACGTTTTATGTCCAAGCTATACATTGGAACAATATAAAATTTTTGTGGTTTATTACCTACACCCGTGTGCCCAATTTGGTGATAAAATGAATCTTACACTATTATCTGGAAGACAGTGGCGGCGTGTTCCCAGTGGTTAACAATTCGTATCTTTTATGGGGACAAGCTGTATAACACAAATGTATCGTAAATACATTCTTTAATCGTTAAACTAACAAAAATGTACTCTTTTTTGAAGTCGATAAAATTAACGGTTTAAGAGAAATTTCAATTTTTAAATCAGGATGTTAAGAAAATCGCCAAACGAAAGATTATAATAAATGTTCGATATGGAAACCCTTTCGTTGAAAACACTTATGAAACATAAGAAGGAATATTTCTTTGTACTCTAAAAGGCATTTCTTTATTTCACAATGAAAAATTATTCTGTCCATTAAATTTATCTCATGATTTAATGGAATTTCGTCTAAAAGAGGTGGTAAATGAATCTGAAGAAATTCCAAGATCGTCTCTATTGTTGTCTTTCAATATTTTTAGTAAATAGTTACAAATAATGGGAGTTTGTCCAAATTTTTTGTTTATCCGAAAATCTCTCTTTACCCATCATCTCGATCAAAAATTAAAATTTCTCTAATATTCATTAATGATATTTTTAATTCATTAATGACATTAACTTCATTAATTATATTTTAGCTATAGTATTAATGACATTTTTATTTACTTTTTTTGTTGATTTTTAAAAAATAGACTCCATTTTTCTTTACTTTTCCCCAATTTTCCCTCCCCTTTGCGCATATAAAGCAATTTTCAACTACCAAGCTACATTTGATAAGGTATAAAAGCTTTTTAGTGACATTTTTAATCACTTTTTGGTGACATTTCAAGTTACTTTTTATTAACTTTTCTAAAAGAGATTTCATATTTCTTTAATGCCCGATTTCACCAACATGTTCTTAGGCATTTCCTAAACTAAATAATTCCTAAGGTAGGAATTACTCAAATCGAATACTTACCTAAATCGAATTTCACCAACATTAGAAATGCCTTAATAAGAAATACCTAGATAAAAATTTAATTTCGACAATTTTTTGAATGTTATTGGTAGCATTGCCTAATTTTGACGTGTAAACCGAATAAGCGGAGATCGTAATTAAATATGTTGGGAGAAAAGAAGAGATATTGACGATCCATTAATGGGCCATCTTTAAACTATGTTAGTTGTTTTTAAATCTGCTGAAGATGTAGTCTGTGCATTAATAGAAAAATAGCCTTGTTTTTAAATCTGCTGAAGATGTAGTCTGTGCATTAATAGAAAAATAGCCTTTCCGATTTCTAAATCATTTCTGTATCTTCTCTTCCAGGACAATGGATCTTTACATACATACCTCAATTCTTTCTAATATTTGTAATGCCGTATTTTTATGTAACGAAAACGGCGAAAAAATCGTTTCGTTCGGTTTCTAAAAACTCTCCTCTCACTTTAAACTTTCATTTAAAGACAGTCAAGTCACATGAAATCACATGAAAAAATATGGTTAAGTATTTCCTAAATTTTTTAGGCAAGCCTAGTGAACTGTCCTAACTTTAGGCATTTACTATTACCTTTAGGTATTACTTAGTGCATGGTGAAACGCAAATTGTACTTAGGAATTCCTAAATCCGATTTAGGTATTACCCATAGACCTATTAACTATGGACGCGGTTTAGACAAAGAGGTTGTGTTGTCGATGAATGAGAGAGATGCAGCTAGTTTGGGCATATGGCAATGAGAGATTGGACAATGCATTAGCCAATAGTAAGGAAGCAAAAGACCACGTGAGTTACGTTTTCAGAAATGCAAGGTAGCTGGGGTAGAGGAGGGTAGCTTATGGTAGAATAGGGTTGAGGATTTATTATTTTTTTACCGAGCAAAATTCATTTTTCAGCGGAGCCTAAATTCCCACGCATTTGCAAATACAGTTCTTATTTTGTATTGTTAATAATTGGAACCTCCTACCTATTAGCCAGTACAGATTTCGCAATTTAAGACCTAACTGCTTTCTCTTGTAAAAAATATGTTTCTTCCAGGTCATTCTTCTGTCCAAGTGGATACCAAGATAAAAACAATATTTAAATATTAAGCGTATAAATAATTTAACAGATTAATCGCCTTTTTCCACACACCCTGTATATATTTTTTTTTTTTTTGGTCCCGCCTACTTTTAGCCCAAACTAGCTCCATCTCTCACGGACCTCTCTCTCTCTATCATTGGGAACGCTGAATAACCTCAAAATACCGATTGTGCCGCGTCCATACTTAATAGGTCTATGGTATTACCTAACTTTAGGAACTGTGGTTGAAATCGTGCATAACTTTTCCCAATTTTCATATGCCAAACTACATTCGATGAGGTATACTCAATGAACTGATACACCGGATACAGGGTAGCGGCACAATCGCAACGAGAATTCGCCGTAGATACAGCGAAATTGTTAATTTAAAAAGTGGAAATCCGTTACTTGGCGCAGCTCGGAAAATCGCCGATGGCGCTGGAAGCGCGACTCGAACAACTCGACTCACCGATATACTTCCTGACGGGCTCCGTGTAATACGTGACGTATTCGGTTTTAGATTTCGGAGACGTCATTAATAATCGGTGAATGTAGTTGTCGTTGGACAACCTCGCCGGTAAACCGTCGTAATAACTGAAAAAAAAACAACAATAAAAATCTATTAGTGACGTTTCGAAACGTCGGGGTGGCAGCCCTGGTTGCTAGGTTGGCGCCCTGATTGTTTTTTTTTTGAGGTTATGTACAGGGTGTTCTTAAACATCGATTTCTTTGTTTATTTTATGACTAAAAGTTCATATAAACGGGGGTCCGCAAACGCTTCGTTGCCGATCTACAGGGTGTTGAAATTTTGTTGCTTTTTTAGAGCTCCTGCAGTTTTTGAGATATTTAGCTCAAATTAGGTAGATAATATAGGGTATAGAGTATAATTAAAGTAGGAGGGGGTCACTTTCAACATTTATTATAACGTAATTTAATAGTTATTATTTAGGATTTTTGTTTTGTGAAATAAATCATTTGTACAGGGTGGCCAATTAAGATTGCGAGGTATTGTATCTGGGAAATTATGCATCGTGGACGATTGCGGTAAAAAAAGTTATTACTAAAACGGGCAAGTGAAAAACCTGGAAAATATTTTCAAGTTTCTCAAATGGCCGCTAGGAGGTGTAACTGTAATATTGAAACTAAAAAAGGGATATTTCTATGAATTCCGCTATATTAACCTATTATTAAGTCGAGTATAATATGAACCTTTTTTGTTTAACAATTTTTGCTGTATTTCTAAAAATAAAGTAGTGTGTGTTTTTCAAATGTGTCCCTAAAAAACACCCTGTATCTTGGAAACGGCTGAGCCGATTTGAACAAACTTAGGCTAGTTGAAAAGAGCTATTCTTGGGCTATAAAAGTTATATTATTTAAAGTTTTGTTAGATTCACGTGTCGCTAGTAGAGCGCTTTTTTCGACATTCCGACAGAAATGGTTAATTTTCTCAAAAAAATTAAATGCAATGGTATGATTTTTTGTACAAAAATCATTTTTAATTTTTTTCTCGATAACGGTCACAGAAACGAAAAAAGTTTATAAAAGAATATAAAAAGTTAGTCTAAACAAAACAGACAATTAATTTTGTATTTTAGAATCTACCAGCGGCGCACAGCAAAAAAGTTCGGGACGGAAAAAGGGTACGTGACCCCTGAAAAAATATCACCCTATAGAATTCAACAACCATCTGATATACCCAATATTGTGTGCCCTATAAAGCAATCTAGATTCAAAATTTGAGCTAAATATCTAATAAAATGCAGGAGCTACAAAGAAAAAACCAAAAAAAATTTGAAATTTCAACACCCTGTAGATCGATAAAGAAGCATTTGCAGATCTATATTTATATGAACTTTCAGTCATAAAATAAGCCAAGGAATCACCCCCTTTCGGATGTACACGATGTTTAGGAACACCCTGTATAGTAGCTGATGTACTTACTTAGAGGAGACCGAAACTGGCCAGCTGTATCTTTGAACACGAGGTACCGGGTCGTGAATCCGTTTCAACAGAGACGCCGTTTGCGCGCGAATTAATCTAGTTTCGTCATCGAATATCTAAAAAAAATAAATTCATAAATTTTTCATCCCATCGAAATCTCTCGGCAAAAGCGACATAAAAACTCATTAGAAACGAAAGCGGCTGAAACGGAAACGTTATTAGAAAGTGCGGCAACACTGTAAGTTTAATTTCATACTTGCGCAAACTTCTCTTCCTGCCCTCGTAAAAAATCGTCGGATACGAGGGTAGCTCGAGAATTTCCGATACTTACTCTCTGCAGCCTGTTGCCGGTACCATTTCCGATTTGCCGGGCGAAATCGGCCGATGTTTTGTACAAGGGCCAGTAGGAAGAGTCCCAAAACAAGGATCTTATGGGCTCGTAGTAATCGCAGTACAAGCCTAGAGGTTTGTATATTTTGTGACGTAGATAAGCGGATGTCGGGTACACCCTGTATATGTCGCTTATCGCGTCCCCTAGGTAGATTATTTTCTGGAATATATCGTTAAAAATAGTCAAAGGTAAGGGCAAATTTGTTTGCAATATGGTCAATTCTATGAGATGAACAAAGAAAGATTATTAAAATATAACAGTGGTTAGAGTGAGAAAGTTGCAATATCTCACAATATCGCTTTTTCTTTTTCCTTTATGGAAATTGTCTTTGTTGCACTCATATAGACTATATTGTGCACAAATTTGCACGTATCTGTATGCATCTAAAAATCAATTATACAGGGTGATGCATATATTTAAGTAAAGTTTCTTTTTCTCAAAACAACACAAAAAAAATGGTTTGAATGCCACAGTTAAAAAAATGCCTTGCGGGGTTGCGCTTTTTGTCACAAAATATTTTCCACACCTCTAGACTTTTTTACGATAATAATTAATTGCAAAATTCATACATTTATTCAAAATGGCGCTCTTAGTCGAAAGTAAGGAGCATTCCTGCGGGGTTCCCTTACCTCCTGCAGGAATTCTCCGTGAGCTCGTTAAATTATTGAATATTTATGAACGGGGACTTTCCCCGCTTTCCATCACACCAATTTCCATTAACAGACAGATTTTTTTTACAGCGTTGCCTTTATATTAGTCCATTCAACCCTTATATGTACTTACGCCTTTCAAGTACGAATACCTATCAGAGGGCAGCGTGTACTTGTAATAGAGGTACTTGTAATAGGGATAGTAAGAGGGCCAGTAGCTGGTGTATCTGTTGAGGCTGCTCAAAGGCCAGTAGTAATCGTAGTAGAGCGATAGAGGCCTGTAATATCTACGCGAATAAGGGTAGTAAGAGTAATCCAACGCCTTTATCGGTGTATCGTATTCCAGGCTCTTTAGAGGATAAGGATAGTCCAAGTAAACGGTTTTCTACAAAAGTCGAAGTAAAAGAAGAAAATAGAGTTAGGGGGTGCAGTTTGGGGAAAAATACGTGTACCAGGTGTCTAGATTTTTACTCACTATAATCATCCTGTTTGGGGGAATTTACTGATGGTTCTGTTTGGATGTTTGTGCACCTAAGTAAAATAATTACTTAAGTAGTAAATAATCGTTTTGAAATATTTGAAAAATCCAAAATTAAAACCTATAAGTACAAATAATTAACAATAATACTCGTTTAAATATATTAAAACATTTATTTCATCACATACAAAAATAAACTTCTTTAATCTTCCAACAGCTTCCTAGAAGTACAAATCGTTTCTCAACTAAAAAACAAAAAAAAAACATTAACATTCCACCATCAAATAAAATCCCAAATAACATACTCGTTGGGCCCTCAGAGACCTGGAGGACGGTTTGTAGTCCATGTAGTGCTGGAACAACCTCCTGGTGGACCAATAGTAAGGGAACCACACTCTGGATCTGCTGGTCCAATCGTCAGTCCAGCTTATGGGTGGCGAGAATCGGTAATTCTTGAAGTACTTGGAATCCGGCCAATGGGTGTAATTGTAACCGTGGATCGGATCGTATCTGGTCTCTAATCGGAACATTTTCTACGACAAAAATTCATTCAATACGTTCTGGATTAAGTAAATAATTGTTGATATAAAGAACAAATTTGAATTTGGATCAGTTAGTTCTGATTTGTTGGTCACAAATTTATATGAATTGGTATCCAAAACTGGTACAATGGAGCCAGTTTTAGTTATTTTACAATTAGTTATTGTTTGATTCTCAATGTATATGAAGTGTCCAAAAGAGTAATGGGGTACAAATTTAAATTGAACTTACCGATTCTAGTTAGCTCACACACAATCACACCTTTCGAGCACCAAACGCGATTCCGCAATGATTTTTTGCCCAACAATCCGCCGAAAAATTAAGCAAAAGAATGCCTGGAGAAGGGCCAATATTTTTTTTTGTTTTTCTCTATAATATTTCGAGCTTTCGTTGAATCACAATAGAGTGGGTGCGTTTATTTTCGTCCACCGCTGAATCACCACGATTGCCCCACTTTAATTTTCCCACTGTTTATATCTAACCCAATTATTTACGCGCCATTAAATCAACACATTCCGCTATATACATCTTATATTTTCGCACAAACAACAATCATTTGAATCATTACGAATCCATCTACCAATAAGTGTGTGTAAACTGATACTGCCGCAACTGCAAACGAGAAAAGAAAAAACCAGATTAAACACGCTCACCATCCGATAACGGAACAATCGAAAATTCACCCTCAAATCTCTGCGCAACAGGTCGTTCAAATACCGCCGGAACTCCGGCAGGCCGAGATAAATCCGATAATAATCCGGCCACGAACCGTAATAATCCAACGGCCCGTCCATCTTGTAATCGGGCACGTCTACCGGCACGTACCTCGAATGAGGCCAGCCGGCCGACTTGACTACGCCGTATACCGGCGCGTAGTGTATACCGAGCATCGCTGAAACATTTTTCTTCGTGTAGCTTAAATAAACTGCTCGACAAAAAAGTTAAGGAAGTTCGCAAATTTCGCGATTATTTCAAAAGTTGCAGACTTTTTGATCGCCAAATTTTCAAATATGCGAAATTAAATGTTTTCTCTCATATCTAAGTGGATTTTTGCAACTGCAACCTGCTACTTTTAAATTAATCTCAATGTTTGTGAACTTCCTTAACTTTTGTGGAGCAGTATATTAATTTAGTGCGTGATTGGTTGACTCACTTGTAAACTGTGTGAATAATTCACTTATAAATTTGATGTAATAGGGAATTCGAGAGTCGATCGAGTGTGGTTGATAAGTAGCGAGATACTGTGCAATGTTACCTGGATTAGATCCAGATATAATATTTGCACCTTGTTGAAAATAAATACTGTATAGGTGATAAAACCTACGCGTTTTGGCGAATATTCGAAACGAGCGTGTATTAATTCCACAATAATCTAGTTACCTCTTTATTGAATATTTATAGATATAACAATATAATAACAGGAGATAATATTACCAATAGGTGTGTACGAATTTGTGCCTTTGTATCTGCAATAATCGATTTAATAATAATTTTATTATAATTTTATTGTACTCACATCCAAATCTCTCATTAGTATATTATTCAAGTAATGCCTGAATTCGGGTAAATGACGATACGCCTGGTACCATTCCGGCCATTTATCATACTTATCTAACGGTCTATAAGTACTATAATTCGGCACGTAAATCGAATGGTACTTAGTGTAAGGCACGTGCTCGTAATCCACGACCCTTTTGTGGGGTATATAGGGGGTTTGGAGATCGTATTGAAGGTTGTACATCGTCTAAAAAAACGGGGAATCCCGCGGGATATTATAATCGAGGGGGCAATTAAAAACGTTCGCTACTTACCGAGGACTTTTCGAACAGATTTAAGCACGATCTGCAAGTGGCAACAGCGGTTATAAATACTTGGAGTTTTTCTGTTTACATGGCTAGATATATAGGGAATTTGCTGGAACGGTTCCAAGGGATTTCGCGCGATTAATTTGATATTCGCGAGTTATTTCGGAGGTTCCAAGGATTTTTACCTGGTTTAAGGAGGATTTTTTGAAGGTTTGTGCTGATTGTGCATCTTTTGTGTGGCAGAATAGAAATATGATGATTTTTTTTTCAGTGTAGCGAAATTCAGAATTGTTATTACACTGGGAATAATGGTTTGTTTCGTTAAACTTATTAATTATCACAATAAAGTGGTTAATTTTGGATTTTTCAAATACGCTTTTGCTTAATATACAGTACGAGACATAAACATGTTTTAAAATTGCTTTGTTAGATCACCCTGTATTGATGGAGATACGGCTTTGTCAAAATAAAAAGGAGCTCGAAAAAAATCAACGAATTTATTCAAACACTTCCAATAACATTTTAAAAAAATTTTAGAAAATTTCGAATTATATACAAAAAAAAACAAACCAACAGTCAATGGACGTAATCAAATCATCTTGAATAATACACGTAGTTTCTGACCTACAAAAATTCATTCAGTCCGATTAAAACGCTCAGAAAAAAAATTTCATATACGGAAATTTACTTACACTGCGCAGCTCCTTGCTCAAAAAATGCCTAAACGGCCTGTTGGGTAACCAAACGCGGTATCTCCACGGCCAATCGAAATAAAAATCGTAAGGTCTATGAATTCTATAATCGGGTACAAACGTGGTGTCGTACGAATAATCGTACCCGTGTACAGGGTCGTATCTTAATTTAAGCATCTTCTGCAAACGAATTTATAATCGCGATTAAATCGATTAATTTAGAGCGATTCAATTCGATAACTCTCTACCTAGTAAACAAGTGTTGATCTGTATGTTTCGGAAAAATAAAAAAAAAAATATTGTATACGAGGGGAGAGAGATAAATTGAATCGATGCACTATAGATAGTGATTTTGGGTGTTTCATTTGAATAAATCCGACTCACCGGTGTGTAAAAGACGTCGCACAGGTAAAAAAGCCGATGGTTAACTGTAGATGAAATTTTCGAGGCGATTTTCGAATTGGTAACAGGCCAACTAAAGCGAGGCAGTGACACACTTTTCGAATTTTCCGAAATATCCACTTTCAGTTAGTCATAAAATGAAAAATCGCTTCTATTTCGGTGCGCGTGGGCACCGCATTTGCACGATAACATCTTCGAAAATAATACCAATTTACTTATTTCGATCTCTCAAAATTCTAATTAATCGCAAGTTCTTCCGACCCGGCGCAAGAACTGGCAACAGCGGAAATTCACGAAATATCCAAGTAAACTACAACTCTAATAAATCATACTTATAATTTCGAAATATTAACAGAGTTTATTCTTAATTATAGTATCGTTGATGATAGAGCACGTTTCTGGTCTGAAATAGCGAAAGAAAAAAAACAAACGGTGAGTAATTTTCCTCGGAAAATTGAAAAACAAAGGGAAAAAATCTTACTCGTTGTATTCCGAACGGAACGCTCGAGGGCATGTGGTCGAAATGTAATCTCAAATTTTTGTAGGGCACCCAAATTCTGGAAGAGTAGGGCCAATCGTAATAGGAGCTCTGGTGCCTTTGGATTTTTTCGTCGCAATAGAATCGATAATCCGGGTAGTAAACGTAGTTGTAGCCTTCGCCCGGGTAGTACTTTATTTGTAGCATTTTTTCTGGAAAATTTCACGACTGAAAGTGTTTATCCCCATTTGCGAGCGAAACTAAATTTAATGCGCCCCGTCTGCTGGATTGCCAGCCGGGCGACTTCTAATCTCAATTATACATTCGCGCTCGCTTCACTGGAATACTCCGATTCTTCGTATATAGCGAATAATGCTTAATTAACCCGTCGAAATTAATTTACACCGACACAGCGCATTAGAGCTAATTGCCGATGAGTTCGCTACAAAAATCCCACTTCTGATTTTCGCCTAACGGGAGAATTAACTCTATTTGAAACTATGCGTATTTTAATTAAAAGTTTTCGCCGTCTAACGAACGTTAAGTCACTTTTAATTGAAATTTACGTTGAAAAAAAGCGCTCGCATTGTATACGTAATCGTACACGTAACGTTGTATTTATAGAAAAGCATCATAAATTTCATAACTTACTCGAATACGATTAAAATATGGGGAACTTAAAAAGCACTGACTCGTTGACGAACAATTGTTACACGAATGCAGAAGATGATTATTTGTTTGGCCCTCTACCAACTGTTACAGTAGATAATTATAGAATTTTTGTAATCAACACTGCACAAGTATTTTTAGTTTGTTTTATATAAATCAGCCGCTGATGCTATTCGAAATGAATACAATTTTTCCTTCATTTAGACATTTTTTTATACATTGTGGAAATACCGCTCGAAAGGAAATTTCATCGAGAAATCATTTCACTCTAATATCTACAATCAAAAAGGAAACGAGCGATTCCAAATAATAAACGTCCAATCGATCATTTTCACGCCTCGAAAACTTCTCCTCTTTAATCCCCTCGCGACGAGCCAAGAAGTCCGTTTTCGAGCCATAATGGAAAATAAATTCCGCGAGTGTTTGTTTTAAAATCGAACTCGCATCGAATCCGCTGGAAAAGCATCGATGAAAAACCGCGATTATCGCGAAACAGATTGAGAAATCGCCCTGGCAATCGACCAAATCCCACTCGCTGGTATTGCCAGTATTTACCTGTCTACTGGCACACGCTGAAGTGCCTACTAGTCGCGTTATTTATCAAACGAAAATACGTAAGTACCTCGTTTTTTTTTCTCTTATAAATATTGTTTTATTTGTGTTGAATAAATTTAGAAATTTGGTGGAAGCGCCCACCATTTCTTGTGAAATTCAAATTTTGGTGGATGCGCATCAAGTTTATTATTATCTAATTTATTTGTATGGTGTATGGTGTATTTACTAAGCAACAAATTGTCGAATGAACAGGAATGTACATGCCCGGTGATCGGTTTGTTTTTTAAAGGAAAATGCTGAAGCTCCGATACGATACTGAATACGGCAGCAGGTATCAATATTTGCTGGCGCCCGCGACGAAATTCTATCTAGATTACAGCACCCTAGACACGCGGGACGCGTTCGAACCGGCCCGTTATCGATACTGGTACCCCCATTACTGGCCCTCCCATCTCCTGGAGTACATCCCCACCGAGCATTCGCTGCGGAAGCTGCGAGTAAGTTTGCGATGAAACTTCGAGACTTCGAGAACTTGATTGTGTGCATTATGATTTACAGGTCAAGAATAATTTGTACGATTTGAGGACGTAACTCCACACATATATTTCTACGAGATTCTATATACAATGTAACTGCTTGAGGTAACAATAAACTATTACAAATTGAGGCTGTATAAATTGTTCCGCACCTAAAACAATATTTTTTGAGTGACAACTCGAGCGATATTTCACAATATTTTTACCCTTAATCGGCGCAGATGGTATTCGGTGGGCCACAAGTCCCTCATGTGCCTCGGCCAGTAGCTCTTTATCCAATAGACCGGCCTCAAAGGCCAATTAACGCCGAACAAATCGTCGTAATAATATTTGGAATCGGGGTAGTAAACAACGTCCCTGCCGTGTAAATGGTTGTATTTTAATTTCAACATATTCGGGCACGGTTTTCGCGCGATTGTGTGCGAAACAAACGGTCGATCAGATCGGACTGCACCGATTTTTGTGTATTGTTTCGAACAGAAACAGGCCCGGGAATGTTTTACAAGTTTGCCAAAAAAACTGCCTATATTTAATAGCGCGACAGATTTATTTCGTGCGTGTGGGCCCGTGCATAATCGGTTACGTTTTGCTGTTAAAATTAATGCGAATATAATTAGGAAATACCGTAATAGGTATGTATAAATATTTGCCAAAAAAACTGTGCCTCTACCATTTTTTTTTATATAAAAATGGTGAAGGAGCTAGAATAACTACAATTTTTTATATAAATTGGGTTAAATGTTGGCTTGTGTATTAATAGCGCGACAAATTTATTTAATTCGAATATAATTATTAGTAATTATCACAATGGGTAGTCTTTAAAACACAAAAAACAATGAATTTAAAATGAAAAATTGTTGAAAGAGCTGTATAGTATTTCTCTATATTTTTTTTTAAAATTAGGCTAAATTAAGGTAGGGTTTTTATACGAGTATAATTAGTTATTAACAAAAAAACTATGCCTCTACCACTACAATTTTTTATATAAATTGGGTTAAATGTTGGCTTGTGTATTAATAGCGCGACAAATTTATTTAATTCGAATATAATTATTAGTAATTATCACAATGGGTAGTCTTTAAAACACAAAAAAACGATGAATTTAAAATGAAAAATTGTTGAAAGAACTATAGAATTTCTCTATATTTTTTTTTAATTAGGCTAAATTAAGGTAGGGTTTTTTATACGAATATAATTAGTTAATACCAAAAAAACTGTGCCTCTACCATTTTCTTAATAAAAATGGTGAAGGAGCTAGAATAACTACAATTTTTTATATAAATTGGGTTAAATGTTGGCTTGTGTATTAATCGCCCGACAGATTTATTTAATTTGAATATTATTAGTAATTATTACAATGGGTAGTCTTTAAAACACAAAAAAACGATGAATTTAAAATGAAAAATTGTTGAAAGAACTATAGAATTTCTCTACATTTTTTTTTTAAATTAGGCTAAATTAAGGTAGGGTATTTTATACGAATATAATTAGTTAATACCAAAATGGGTATATCTTAAAATATTCACCAAAAATGAAGCATCCACCATTTGTAGCTTACACATAAAATGGCGAAGGAGCTTCGGTTCCTCCACCATTTTTTACAACTGTCGATAAATTAGGATAAAACAAAAATTGCAATCATATATTCCAAAAACGGTTTATTCATTACATTTAATACAAAAATAATTATTTCGTACACATCGCATATCACTCCATATCCACCTTAATACAATCCGCTCGAAGATTCGGTCCAATACAAGTTGTTCCTCGTCTGTGGAAACCACCGTCATAAACCCATTCGCAAATCGTCACATCACCCCCGTACTCACCCTGATCTCGGAGAAGGACTTCTCGCTGGGGACGTCCTGCAAATAGTGCCAGTAGGAGTGGTGGCTGGGCCAGTACCGCGGGTACCATTCCCTGCCCCTGACGGGCCAGTCCTCGTGCAGGTAGAGCGGCCGGTAGATTTTGTAGTGGTAGAAGAACCGCGCGTCGGGCCAGAACGAGTACTCGTACCCGGATATCGGGTTTCTCAAATACGTGAGCATCTTCCTATATGCGCAAATCACCGCTCAAACTCACAATTAAATTAACCGCCAAGTTAGGGTACTTACCTATTTTTTTTATTGCTCAAAACCACTACAACTGTTCGACGTTCGGTAACACTGGTTCTTGTGAGCTCACCTGCACAATCGCCCGACTATTTTAAGTATTCATATTGGGTTGTGTCCAAATATTTATGGTATAAATAAAAATGCAATTGGTAGAGGTGACTAATGCGTGAGTAATATGTACATTTTCGCGTTATCTAAACACCTGGTATACGTATTTGTTTTCTCTCTCGCGAGTAGTAGAGAAATTTCCTATATAGACAACCAACAATACACGTAGAGTGCTACGTAATACTGGTTGCCTACGCTCGGTAATACAAAGCTTCAAGTGGCAGGAAAATACAACAGAGAATACACATAGACAGGTGTACTCACGCGCAAATTATCGATTTTGTTTTCGAGTTGGCCGAATTCGAGGTCCAAGCTCCTGTACCAGGGCAAGTAACTGGACCAATAGTAACTAGGCCAATAGCTGTTTGAGTAATAATTCCTCAGATAATCGGACAGGTACGTCCTGGCGTAGGGCCAGTACGAGCGGTACTCCCTCGGCCAAGTATAGTACCAGCGGTAGGTCCTCGGGTAATAAGTGGAGCTGGGCAAGCTGAGGGTCGAGCAGTAATCGTAGCAGTCGGATCCGGTTATTGGGTAACTCGCATAGTAACTCCGCTGGAATAAAATAGGGTGGTTTACTATGCATTTTCGTTGTTGAAGTGTATAGAGGAATTTATTTTTGACGGATATACGACGAATGGTGACTGGCAACAAAAATGAAACGTTCATATAACGATAGGTATACAATAAAATTATGTAGATTATTAATGATGATGGGTAACGGATCTGCTTATTTTTTTTTGTTGTGTTTCTGACAGTTAGATATGGGGGAGCATCGGAACTTGCATTCTGAATTTATTTGTATTTTAAGTCGATACCGAAATTCCGCAACAAAAATTTGTTAAATGCAAAAACAGGTATGATTAATATAGGGTGTCCCAATGAAAAGTAGCCCCTTTAATGAGCTGGTAATTTGTAAACGCATAATCGTAAAAATATACGGTTTTCTCAGGTATGTTTTATTTTATTATAGGTTTTGTTACAGTGATACAGAAATTATGTATTACCAAAATAGTGTGTTTTATCAAAATCTCCTGTTTTAAATACACATCAGTAACCATTTTTTAAATGGAACACCCCGTATATGTAGAGATATTTTGAAAGTATTTTGAAAAATGTGTTATTTGTACATGTTATTGTTAAAGAAGATGTCCTGTATCATAAAATTTACTTAACGTGAATTTAAAAGAGGTGGATTTTTGAAACACCCTGTACAGACGATACAAAATTTTTGTGTCACTGTAACAAAAAGTTATAGGAAAATAAGATATATCTGCGAAAACCGCATGTTTTTATGATTAGGCGTTTAAAAATTATTAGCTCATTAAAGGGGCTACTTTTCATTGGGACACCCTGTATTATTTCGTTGCGGAATTCCGGTGCACCAGGAATTGGCGTAAGCTCGACTATATTTAATTATTGTTAAGAAGCTCTTTGGTCTAGAAGAAAATTCAGGAAGGAAATTTGTATTTATACCCTCACAATAGTAACGCTATTTATCAGAAGAACAGTTTCTCCCTACTTTTGTATATCGACTGAAAACGAACCATTTCTAAGATATATCTCTTTACATATAACCGACGTAATAACCATCAAGAAATGTTAGTGTAATCGCGGCAAACGCACAAAACAAAACGTGAGAAATTTCCCAAAAATTTCCCCTGCGGATTTAAACAATGACCTCATCGCATTTTTCATTTTAACGCGATCGGTTAATTTCGGTCGCACAATCTGGCATAAATCCAAACAAAATAATCGAAATCCTCTACACCCACGTGTTGCTCGTTCACGATCCAGATGGCCAGATACAATTTTTCCTTTATAACTCCACAGGACTAATAATTAGAGAGCTTCATTAAGGGGAATTTCGCTATGAATGAAATCGTCTAGTTAAGTACACGATTTACACTCGCTAATTAAATGTATACAAGGCAACGCTGTAAATGTCTCAAAATTAAACTTACAATACCAACGCTTTGTACAAAATTTTCTTCAAGCCAAAAACAACGCGTTAGGCGATCAAATATACACCGTTGGAAATTTAATTTCGCATAATAGGGAAATCAATGTTAAATTCTTATCCGGCTGAAATCCAGTATACCAGTGTACATTTCAATAGAACTTCGCGATTAATTCTAATAAATTTAATTGTTCTACTGGACTTCACATCGCGATTTGGTTCGGTTAGATTAAAAATCAATATTTTTTGCAATATTTTTTAGGGGATATTTCAAAAAAATATGTGTATCGGTAGGTACAGTTTTGAAAGAGCAACAAATCTTGTTGAAATAAAGGAAAAAATAATTCATTTTTCTGCTAGAATTATACCTCAGCTCAGTAATATGAAATGACATCTGTATGACAGGTTTGCCTATAGTTTAGCAGAAAGCGGTGGACTATTTTTTAGAGTTCTTTTATTTTCTGTTTTAAAATAATCTTTAAGTTTATTTTTGGAGTCTCCTTTTTATTATTTTTTTAGAATTTACTTTCTTTTTCAAGCCATTGTGGCAAAAGGACATATCTACATAATTCTATTTTAATATTAGGATATTTTTTCAATAAATTATCGTTTAAAAATTCTCATTTCTTTTTAATCGACTCGACGTTTACCCATCCTAACCCGTTTTGATTCTGTCGAAGTGTCGAAATCGTCGAAATTATTTGATTTTTAATCTAACTGAACCAAATCGCGATGTGAAGTCCAGTAGAACAATTAAATTTATTAGAATTAATCGCGACGTTCTATTGAAATCTACACTGGTAGACTGGATTTCAGCCGGATAAGAAATTAACATTGATTTCCCTATTATGCGCGAATAATTTTCCAACGGTGTACATATACGAACGGCGTAACAAGCAGAAGCGCTAATGATACGAGGTAGAACAAGCACGAGAATCGAAAGCACTAAAACGAAATTACAAAACACGAATCGGAGCGGGTACGGTCCTGTCGCCCGGCCCGACCCCCAATCACACAAGGCCCGTACTCACCACAGCAGAATCGGAGTTGAGGTAGCGATTGGTCGCGGAATAGCCGGTCCAGGGCCGGACTTTGTTTTCGATGCGATCGAATTCGCGCTGGAGGACGCTGGGCCGCGTCGCCCACACCCTCGGCGGTGCCGTCACCACCGTCAGCCTCTTGTGCCCCACGTACGGTACTAGACGATCGTACGAGTACGTCACGTGTACCTGGAATTGCGTACATTTTGATGAGGGTTTAAATAGGTACTTTGTTTGATGCGTGTAGTTGATTCAGTTTAACTTTGCTCTTGTGTCTATTTTGTTCTAAAGGGTGTTTCAATAAGAGCGCAAGATTTTAGGGTTCAATAAAACAATGTTACCTGTAGCAAAATATGGAAATGTTTATGAATTTATCATTTGTACATTTAGGAATTATACAGTGTGTCTACTTAAGTTCGCACCATATGCATATAAAGTTATTCTTCATGAAAAGTTCTGCATGTTTTAAAACCTAAAATGCAATCATCAGATATCTATTTTTTTCAGTCGTATACGGGGTTTGTTAGAAAATATGAATTTTGCTCAAAAGTAAAGTAAATCTATTTTTGAAAATATTGGAAATTGTTATCTGTTATCTCTTTATTCGTTCAAAATTTGATTACATTTACATCTCTTAACCTCTATGTTGCATTAGTTTGATTATGCATTGAAATAAATGATAACAAAATAAATTATTTTACAATAATTATCGACTACATAAAAACATTGCTAAGTGTTGATAGTTTAAAGAAGAAAAATAGATTACTTACTTATAATTGGATGTAATTACATATTTGAACGTAATTTTTAGTCCTGATCAACTTTTCTCAATAACAATTTCCGATATTTTCAAAAATAAAGGTACTTTACTCTTGAACAAAAAACACATTTTTTGACAAACCTCGTATACGGATTAAAAAAATTGTTATCTGATGGTTGTATTTTAGGTTTTAAAACATGCAGAACTTTTTATGAAGAATAACTTTTTTTCGTAAAATTAATAATAAAAAAGTTTTCCATATGGTGCGAACTTAAGTAGACACACTGTATATGAAACAAAATATCAACAACAAGTAACCCCACAGCCAAAAGTCCAAAGGTGCTAAATCACAAAAACGTGGCGGCCAATTCTGGTCACCAAACCGGGAAATGACCACCTAACAATTAAGGCGCGATTATGTTCCATATCCAGATCCATATCCAGATTCAATGATCCATATTTACTAACTCCCAACTGTCAACTTTCGATCTGTCATGCTATAATCAAGTGTTATTATGACTGTCAAACATGACAGGCAATTCAAATCTTGCGGTCTTATTGAAACACCCTTTATTTAATTGGCTGTAGTTGATTCGATTTAGTTAATTGTAGGTTTGTAATTGGTGGTACTTTGATTGGTAACTCAATTTAAATATTTGATTTTTAGTTGATTCAATATTTGAAAGGTTGAAAAGCTTTTGAAACGGTTGAGTTCTTTAAAATTTGGAGCATAATTCATTCAATATAACTTTTCACTTGACTCATTGCTGTATTAAAAATGTTATTATAATTCATTCAATGTAACTTTGTCGTTGACTTAATACTGGCATTAAAAAATTGAGTAGGTACAATTTATTCAATATAACTTTGACTAATTGCTGCATTAAAAATTTAAATACAATTCATTCAATACATGTTTGCATTTAACTCCATTACTGATTCTAAAATTTGAGTATAATTCATTCAATATAACTTTTCCCTGGTCTCATTACTGTATGGAAAATTTTAGTATAATTCAATCAATATAACTTTTCCTTGGTCTCATTACTCTATGAAAAATTTGAATATAATTCAATCAATATAACTTTTCCTTGGTCTCATTACTCTATGAAAAATTTGAATATAATTCAATCAATATAACTTTTCCCTGGTCTCACTACTGTATGCAAAATTTGAATATAATTCAATCAATCTAACTTTTGTACTTGACATCATTACTGTATTAAAAATTTGAGTACCTACAATTCATTCAATATAACTTTGCACTTGACTAAATTATTGAAAGGTTTATTATCTAAACAACATTTAGTATAATTGATTGAAAATCGCTTGATTTTGTTCAAAACGAAACAAGAGCAATGAAGTTAACTGTATTAAATTTGAACTAAATGAACCTTCGGTTCGGAAACTAGTAGTGAATTTCCCTAACGAATTTTCCCAGATATCTGGCTGTACTTAGCGAGCATTAATATTCCGAATAAATTTGCGAGGTAACTGAATTTGGAAGGCGCTCGTTGTAATAGCGGTGATGATTAATATAAAAGTTTCGAAACGTCGTCTGATGGTGAATAGGGAGTTCACTACAAATTCATTAGATGTTAATTAAAAAGATTGCTGGTATTCGATTCTGATTAATTTACTTTTGCTCGCTAAATTCAGAAGATATATCTGTGATAATTAAAAGGTTTGTAAAAAGAAAATGACTTACCTTTCCTAAACCCGGCAGTACTCGAACTTGTCGCGATGGTCCCTGGGGAAAGGAAAATAAAGGACGAAAATTAGTTTGGGAAATACAAAAAAATTTCATATAATATTATCAAAAAAAAAACGGCGAAACGCAAATAAAATCATATTTTCCAAAAATTTGTACTTGTAGATATATACAAAAAAATAAACACATACAATGTTAGTAGTCGGGAATATTAGGAGAGGTAAATAGAAAAATCTGCAAGAAAAACCAAATAAAACCAACCAAACTTTAAGATTACATTATATTACAAATAAAATCATATAGTACACATCTAATTAAAAAAATATATATTGTCAATTAGTTTTATTCAGAAAAAAAAATCTTCTACCACACCAAATGTAGCTTGGCAGTTGGAATTTTGCAAAAGATCCCAATATACCAGTGGCGTAATGTGTTCGTGTAATTCCCAAATATAAAAATCCGGGAAAATTTAGTTCTAGTAGTTCTTTTATTCTAGTTTAAAAACTAGTACCCTTAGGCCCACCGCTCACGGAGCAACTGTTTTGAAATCAATATTTCAATCTAGTTTAGTCTGTAACCAGTTTACAACTAACATTAAACTTCTGTACGCACACGGATGCGACTATTATAAAACAGTTTCAATCAGTTGCCATAGTAATTTATCGAATGTCGAATGAATCACACCAGAAATTGGCAAGAATTTAAAGCAACTTGAAACTGCAAAGCGACTGCTACAGCGGGAAATGGTCGGGTACAACTGGTTTATGACTCATTGCAAACTAGTTTCATTTGAATCGACTTGTGTGCTGTTTCACACTACTGAACATTGCCGAGGTTGCAAAATAGTTGCAAGATCAACTGGTTTACAATTTTTATTCTAAAACAGTTGCTCCGCGAGCGGTTGCATACCTAACGCAATTTCCAACTGCCAAGCTACGTTCGCCGAAGTATATACACAACAATAATCGAGCGTACTAAAAACTAATAGATATAAATAAATATCGAATCAAACGCGGTAGGAGTAGTGCCTGTAAGTGGTACCGCCGGGCAGCCTGCCCGACGTCGTCGAGCTATAGCTGGAGCTGTAGCCGGCGGGGCCGTCGCCCCTGGACCGCGACGACCGCTCCGACGAGTAGCTGTATCCCCCAGGTCCTCCCGTCGAGGACCTGGACACCGACTCGCTGGTGGTGTACGACCGGGACGAGGGCGTCGCGCCGCCGCCGGCGCCGTACCGGTCCGACGCCGAATTATACGAGTACGAGTACACCTGTTCGGCGGACTTGTAGCTGCGCTCCGGCCTCTCGGTCACCACGTAATGTCTCGGGCTCTATAGAAAACAAAATCAACGATGAGAGGATGCGGGATGATTCGTGAGTGTTCGTTTTTTTTTTCTCTATAACTGGGATTTTTCGGGGTTGGTTAGTAAACGGTTTTGGGGTATTTTTCGGGCGGTTTGGCAACGCTGCGGTTTCGGATGGGGAACGGGTAAACTGCACTGTTTTATAGCGGTGAAATTCAATGCGGATTTCGCTCTTAAAATAAATCGGCATCGCGGGAAAATGCTTCGACGAAATATCGAAAATAAACCGGATTTTTAACTGGCCGCTTTCGTGTGTATTGGACGCCTGCCAGAACGTTTGCTTTTGTATATTATATCGTGCCGAATTCAAAAGATCCATTAATAAAAAACAACTAATAAAATTCCATCGTATACTTACTCCGTTTTCGAAACGATATTATACTAATAAGGATATGTTTGAAGAGGTAATTTGTTAATAACATATGTCCGAGTTTTGTATGTGTATATTTTTTCAACAATAAACCAAAAAAATACTCTAAAATATCTATTTAATCGATTTAACAAAATTAGTTACAAAACTATTAAGCGCACGGAGATATCACGAAGCTTCGGTTAATCGAAAAAAAAAAACACACAAGTTTGCCATCAATATCTACCAAAACTAGCTAAGTATACAACACACAAAATGCAACAGAATAAATTCGAATATACAGCGCGTCCACGTTTATCCAGCGATCTTCCTCTATATATATAACAATCGTAATGTCTACCAAACAGGCGGCAAATCCGAATTGGACACCATCCTCCTCTTGTAGGGCAAATCCGGGCACTCTGCAACCCGATGCAACCGCGGCAACACGTAATCCATGTGGCCCGCGTTGGGTTGGCTGGCGTGCCTCGAGACGCTGTCGAGCACGCGCCCCCTGGTGGCCTCCCTGGCGGAGACGTAGGGCTTGACGGGCTCCAGCAGCGCCTTGGGCTTGATCTTGGCGCGCTCCTCCGGCGACAGGACGGACCTCCTTTGCGGCTGCGACGGCTGCTGGGACGGCCTTTTACCGAACGCGGTCACCGGATCGGGCACCAGACTCGGTCTCGGCACGAACGGCACTTTCTCCCAGGGTATCTCGCGTTTCTGCAAGAATGGTTTGTCATCAGAGTGCTGTTCGTCCGAGGCCAAGTGCGCATGGGGTTCGAGTTCGACCGCGCGAATTTGGTGTACAGATCGATCGGAGTAGCTGGGGGAATGGCGGCGCGGTTGCAGCTATTCCATTCGATCTGTAGGTGTTGCATGGGTTGCCAAAGTTTTTAAGGTTAAGGGCCACCGCTCGCGGAGTAACTGTTTTGAAATGAAGATTTTCAATCTAGTTTAGTCTGTAAGCAGTTTACAACTAATATTAAACTTCTGTACGCACACGGATGCGACTATTATAAAACAGTTTCAATCAGTTGCCATAGTAATTTATCGAATGTCGAATGAATCACACCAGAAATTGGCAAGAATTTAAAGCAACTTGAAACTGCAAAGCGACTGCGAACGCGGGAAATGGTCGGGTACAACTGGTTTATGACTCATTGCAAACTAGTTTCATTTGAATCGACTTGTATGCGGTTCCACACTACTGTACATTGCCGAGGTTGCAAAACAGTTGCAAGATCAACTGGTTTTCAATTTTTATTTTAAAACAGTTGCTCCGTGAGCGGTCGATCTAATTATTCATTTAAAGAGTCTCTTTAACTTGACAGTTTTACATTGTTGTTATGTGGTAACTAAGAGTTAATTTACGTTAAAGAGATTCTTAAAACTAACGATTATTGTTAAAAAAGAGCGCTGAATATAATATGGACCATTTTCTCTCGAATTACAGTAATATAAAAATAGAAAATTACCAGTTGTTACAAATCGATTGTGCTAATCGTGAATGAAATCGGAATATCTAGGAATGTTATCTAAACGATTTAGAGAATCTTTAATGTCTACGAATTGCTGGGATAGTTATTTCTGCGTCGGATATTTTACTGTAATGTATTTTTAGAAAAGTCTAAGTTTGCGTTTCTTCGAATGAGTCGACCCAGTTTTTCGGAAATAACGCGCAAAATATCAATTTTCGAATGACTAAATTTCTAAATTGCATCCGATTATAGAAAGTAGTGATTATACTTCGATTACTATACGATTTTGGATATTAAAAAAAGCTACTACACCGCGGCCAAAATTTAATATTAGCACTCTTTTTCATTGATGAAAATAAATCCTTGGCAAATTTACAAAAAGGATGTTGCCTATTTATCAATTTGACAACAACCAATTGTGTTTTTACTAGTATTGTACGAAAAATATGTTTCGTTTTAAAACACATTTATAACTAAATAATACATCCTGTACAAAATACTGACGGCAAACTACGGCTGTTTTAACGCTATTTTTATTAGTCAAAGCAAGTCAAATAATATCTGATTTTAATTCTCAAGTATAGTATACAAAAATTTCAATCAACACATTTTGCTCCTACCTAAAGCATAACCAAACCAAAATTTTGTGCACGGCACAAATGCTTATCAAATTACTTACCAAAAACAAGGATTCTAATAATCTTATTTTGGTATACCTCCTCAAATGTAGCTTGGCAGTTGGAATATCCTAATAGTTGGATGCGCAGTAGAAAAATTTATAAAAGAGATAGTGTAGTGTAGATTTCATTTGGAAATTTGTACCATCCTACAGTGAAAGATCTCTCTTTAGCATCTCTTTCGTTTATGTTGATGCAATTGTCAACTACCAAGCTACATTGGATGAGGTATAAAATAATAATTTGGCTTCGGTTTAGGCATGAAATTTGGTTCGGTTTAAGATGAAGACTTTAACACACTCAGTTAATTAGAGGAATAAAATTAGTAAACTATAGATCGATATTTAAAAAAAAAACTCCACACTCACCGAAATTGTGTAAGACGACACGGTCGGCCTGGTGCTGTACGGCCTCCTGGTGGTGTAGAAATCGGTCTCGTACACCATTTTATATTATTAATTAGATTTAAAACGAATTTACAAGCTAATGTTCGTATCGCAAAAGCGTCGAAGGGGCGAAAAGAGGCGATTAAAAAAAATTTCGTCGGTCGGCGTCTCGTCGAGTTGAAAACTGGACTGAGGCTCAATTCGACGGCCGGGAGTTTTTGCGTCGAAAACGACGTCCAAGAATCTATTTTTGAGGACGCCTTCATGGGCGTCGGGACGCCGAAGGTGGGTCAAGTTAACACGTAGATCATGGGTGGAAAATTATTAGATACTCATCAACAGTTTTATATTTAGTATTGTTATTGATCTATTATCGTATTGTAAATGTATTTGTTTGTGAGTAATTAGAATGTGGTGTGTTTAATTTATGTACGACTATGGTGTGTATTAAAATTTCTATGTATGTAGGTACGAGTAAGTGTAATAAATCGTGTATTATTTTTATTTTTACGATTCGTGTGGATACTGTCCCAGATAAATTTCCAGAATGTTCAAGCCAAAAATTAGTTGTAAACAAATTTTATAGGAATTTCGTAAGAATCCTTGTTATTCCTGCAAAGTCCTTCTCTTCCCACAATAAGCGTATCATATATGATTCATTAAACTTGACATATACTGGTTATAGTTTATGGTTTAACATTTTATACAGGGTGTCAATTATTTGGATGCCGATATTTCAGAATGTAAATATTTGGATGATTTTAAGAAGAAAAGTTTATATCAATGTATGTCCTAAACCTCTTCGTTTTCGAGCTACAGGGTGTTAAAATTTTAGAAAAAATTACTTTTCTATCATAATTTTCTTATTACTTACTTCAGATATTTTTATGAAATTTTGTACACACTAATTAATTATTAAGGAGCATTTTTTGAGACAAAAGATTTCTTAAAATGTTCACCAGTGACATCCGTACGGGGTTTGAACTGAATATATTTGAAGAAAAAATGGTACGCCACTGCTTTTTCTAAAAACCAAAATTATTTTTAAAATCGTCATTTATTTTGAAACAAATTCGCTCAGAAGACTTACTTTCGTACGACGCACCATTTTCGCGTAAAAAAAATAAAAACCAAAACAATTTTTCCCCAAGTTCATTTTGAGACTGCTTTTGATATTTTGTTGAAATTTGTGAGGCGCCCACCATGCATGGAAATACTTTTTTATGGGGATAAAAATTAATTTTCTACTATTACCAGTGACCTCCTCATCCTAAATTTCATAAAAAAATCTGGAGTAATAAGAAAATTATGGTTCTTTTTCGTTTAAAAACTAGGTATCTTTGTTGCACCCATACCTGTATAAGTACAAATAAGTGCGCAATAAGGGTGCAACAAAGACAGTTTCTATTAGTTTCATGTATACGAAAAAGAAAGAGTGATATTGTGGGATTGCAACAATTTCACTCTAACCACTGTTATTTGAATAATCTTTCTTTGTTCAACTCAATCAAGAGTTGAACATATTTGCATTTTGTCGCATCCATAGACCAAACCAGCAACAAATTTGCACTACGCCTATTTGCACAGACCATAAATGAAATTTTCGTCCATGCAGCGCCATCTATGTACCATTTTACGTACCAATTCCAGTTTACAGGACATTTCAATAAACCTCAACGAAGTGTTAGCTGAATTTATTATACAATATTCACAAAATATCTTTTAAGTTACAAAAAAAACATATTCTGAGATGAAGTTCGGAACACAACCAGTCTCTTAAATTCTCCAATAACGAGAAACAAATGCGAAACAGTACAGACGTTACTAATTATAATTAAATATGCAATTTTAAACGGAAACTGTACAAAAAAAAAATAATCTAAAAAAATATATTATACCGAGGCATTTTGAAGAGTATAAAAAAATATCTTCCACTAAACCATAACGCGCCTACAGCTCGTCCTTCTTGCCGGCCTCATCGTCGTCGAGGTCCTCTTCCGAAGGCTCCACCTCAGCGCCCTCTTTACCGCCGCTCTCAACGAACTTAGTGAGCCCTTCGAACGTCCTAGGTCCGTTGTATTCGATGGCCTGATTCTCCCCTTTGGCGTACAACTTAATAGTAGGGAAGCTCGTCACTTTGGTGTGCTCCAATTCGTTAGTGGTGGCGTCCATCTTGGCGATCACCACGTCATCGTTGCCGCTGAAATGCTCGCCCACTTTGTCGTAGATCGGCACCAGTTGCTTGCAATGGCCGCACCACGGGGCGTAGAACTCCACCAAAACATCTTTGTTCGAGTCCAACGCGACGGAATCGAAGTTGCTGGCCACCAGTACTTTCACGGCTTCCTTGTCCCAATCGTCGGGCAACTCCTGGCTGAGCAGGTGCTGCTTCAGCTTGCCGGCTAGGAAATCGTCGACGAATTGCTTGATGTTATCGGCCGTTAAGTCATCGCTGGCCGGTTTGTATTTGGCCATGTCCTCTTCGAGTTTGATCAATCGAGCGGCCGGTACCTCCTTCTTGCTCATGCCGAAGAACTCGAGGATCCTCTGGTGGTCTTCGTCCTCGGCGTCGATGGTTACGAATAGGACTTGGTCTTTGTAGGGTTTGGCCACCGATCGGGCGGCGTCGGTGATTTTCTGGAAGGATTCGTCGCTTTTGCTCAGGAACAACAACAAGTGGCTCTTGATCTCGCCGCCGAACACCTTCTGGGCGGTTTCGTGGTTAAATTCTACGATGAGAGGCAGGGAATTGGCTTGCACGAATTTCTTGATTTCAGCTTCGTCCGGTTTGCCATCGTACACCACTTTACCTTCATCGAACTACAATCACACAATTAATACTACGTTCGATTAATACACCTCGAATTAACTTACTTTTTTGAACAAAACGACGGTATCGTCGGAGGCCTCGTACTCTTTGTACACCGGTTCGTCGTCGGTGATACCGAACGGAACGTCGTCTACTGAGGCAGCTACTTCTAAGAAGGCTTTGGCTGCTTCGGTGGTTTGATCTTTGAAGAAACCGATCACTACTACGTTGTTGGAATCGATTAGTTCTTTGGCGGCTTCGACGGTGGAAACGTCTCTAGCAGGGGGACCGGTCTTCTTCAACAGCCAGTTAACGATATCATCGGCTTGTCTACCGCCTAAAATTTATACAGTTTATCATCGAAAATAGTTTCCGATTGCCTTATCAGGACGCCCACATACCAACAGAATTACTCTTGCGACACACACACAAATTCGATTTTAATTGCTCAATTAGATAGGAATTTTTAGATATCTTACCGGAATAATCGACGGGTGAACCTTTCCGGAAGAACTTCAGCGTGGGGTAGCCCCCGATTCCGAACTGCTCGGCCAAGTCTTGTTCTTGAGTGGCATCGACTTTGCCCAATTTGATGGCCGATTCCTTTTCGGCCAAGGCCTTGGCGGCTTTGGCGTATTCCGGAGCAAGGGCTTTGCAATGTCCACACCAGGGAGCATCTGGAAGCAACGCGATTATATTCATTATGCATACAAAAATTATACACGAACGGATAGATAAGAGTTTATAAATAACGTCTTATCTCCGAATAAGAAATAGGTTCGACTATTTCGAGTCATTATGCACGTTCCGGTTTCGGATATTGCGGAATTATTTATGAAAACCAACCTGTTGCTAATAAAGTTAATAATTTACGAGATGAAATTGAAATTTTTGGTAAACTTTACACTTACAGAACTCGACCAAGATAAATTCATTGTCGCCGACAGCTGTCTTGAAATTATCTTTCGTCAGGACCAAAACTCCATCATCGACCGCTATATCTTCTCCGAAAACTCCTTGATTGATTATCAACAGCACAAACGCCAGACCGGTCACTTTAAACATGTTTAAGATGGTTGGTTTCGTTCTCGTTTCCAATTGTATTAATAAATTAACTGCTAGCGATAAATACAACGTGGCACTTGCCAGTGGAAAAAGGGTACTGGCCTAAACGACTGGCAAATGGAAAAGAAGACCGTTCCCGTTAGTTTGCCGTGTTTTTAATGTAAAGTTAATTTGGCTGACAAAACAACACACACTTCGTGTGGGGATTCGATTGGCCGAGGAAGATGACGGTGACGTCTGTCACCGTCACTGTCACTTTTACTGTCAACGTCAATGTAAATATCGATACGAATTAATAGAATAGGTTTGTATTTATCGGGAATTATCGTTTAAACGTACGTTTTGCGTTAAAGTACACGAATTGATTATAATATAGCGAATTTATAGTTTAAATAAATCTAAAATGCAACTGACAGGTACACTGTTTAGTTACAATTTTCGTGCATAGGTGGCTATAAAGGCGAATTGAATAAAATAAAACAATCATTAAATAATATTAACTATATTTATTGAATTGAATTGTTTAAACTTTTATTCATTAATCAATAATTCTTATAAATCTTTGCGCCGTACGCCATCTGTAGATCAGAATCTGTAAACGATAGATCTAATGTAAGGAAACTGGTACATTCAACCTACTAGTTCCGTACTCGCCCGAGCAGATGTCAATCGCTTCCTCTTGTTGTTCTGTGATTTCAACGGTACCCGTTTTAAAAATGCAAGATTAATTAATTGCGCGATTACTTTAAATTGCAGTGAAATTGTGTAGACTTTTAATTGTAGTGACTTTTTTTGTGTAATCCGCGGACTTTCCGTCAATTCGAAGGAGGAATTTATCAAGACATTAGCGAGGACGTGAATTTAGTGGAAGATTCAGCGGCGTAATATGTAAGTACATCCGCCATGTTACATTTGACATTTAGAATATTTAGATCGTTGTTTATTATAAAAATGACGAAAGATTTTGTTATTCAAACACTAAATTTACAAATCCTTTTACATCTATACCGAGTGTCTGTAATTTTGCCCACAATTTGAGTACATAAGTGGAAAAAAGCAAGCAATATTGGTCTATGGGTGCAACAAAGACAACTTCCGATTGCAACATGGTCATTTTTATGAGTGGAACAAAGAAATTTTCCTTTTCCTTTGTAAGTGTCTAATGCTGGTTGTCTTTATCGCACCCATGCATATACCTATTAGTATATACTGCTTACTACGGTCTAAAACCCGTAGCAAACATTATACTTTAGTGGGCCTGCTTATTTATGCGCATGCTCAAGTGAAAGATTTCTTGATTGGCTACTTTTGACAGAGCAAATGAAACGTCAGAAGCGTGTAGCTTTTATTTTGGTATATTTTTTGATATATTTTTAAAATCGACTTTGACTTGCCTGTGTAAATATGTCAGGTTACCGAATTTAACCACAATTTCAAGTATTATTTTCTTTCTTTTCTTTTTAGGCCTCAGCTACTCGCTATTGGTCCTTTTAAAATTAACGCGCTTGCGTATAAACGACTAAGCACACCATAAAGGGTCGGATCTCTCTCTTTAATCGCTACGATTTTCTCTCATGGAATAGATAGGGAGTTAGCAGTATATACTAATAGGTATATGCACCCATGGCCTATATAACCTATATGTTGCGATCAAAAATGGAGCAACCTGTATTTATACAGGGTGTCCCAATGAAAAGTAGCCCCTTTAGTGAGCTAATATTTTTTTTAACGCTTAATGAGAACAATTGAGAATAATTTGAGAAAAACATACGGTTTTGACAGATATATTTTATTTTGCTATAACTTTTTGTTGCAGTAAGACAAAAATTTTGTATCGCCTACACAGGATGTTTTATAAAAAACCCCTCTTTTAAATTCACAACTAAATTTTATAAAATATGACATCTCCTTTTGTAGCATAACATCTACAAATAATATATTTTTGAAAAGTAGAAGAGTGTATCTTTATGTTCCATTTAAATTAATTTGGTTACAGTGAATTTAAACGAGGAGGTTTTGATAAAACACTGTATTGTTAATGCATAATTTTTGCATCACTGTAACAAAACTTATAATAAAATAAAACATATTTGAGAAAACCGCATGTTTTTATGATTAGGCATTTAAAAATTATAAGCTCATTAAAGGGGCTACTTTTTATTGGGACACCCTGTGTAATGGAAAAAGAAAGAGTGACACCGTGGGATATTGCTTTAACTTTCTCACTCCAACCCACTGTTATTTTAATAATCCTTCGTTCAAATCGTACAATTGACCATGTTGCAAACTTTTATACACCAAGGTGTAGAGCTCCAAATGGATCCACGTAGATCCATATAGGTCCATACAGGGTCCATATAAGCTCATATAGGTCCATATAGAGTGCTCCACTTTGTTGAACTCACAGAATACACCATATCGCCAACAAATTTCCACTTACCCATGTAAATATCGCAATTAAACATTAACGCCGTACACCACTGTATAAGCAATGGGAGAAAACAAACCGAGCGACCTGCGATATAAGTTTCCGCTCGGCTAGAAGTTAATTTTCTTGCGTTGTCGCAACAACTTCGTCCGTTCGTCCATCATCATTCGCACGGAAGACGGGCAGGATTTAGCGACCGTACACGTTTTAAAATTGCTCACTGCTCGCATAAAACCCGCTATCGCCCTTTATGCCATATAAGTAATAAAAACTGTAACAATGTAGAAGGGACGATTCCATCGTTAGACATATAAATTTACAGGGCGAGCCAATAAAGTCTGAAGTATGAGGTAGTGGTTTGTTATATTATAGGGTGCATTAAATAAGTTGTATCTACCACATAATTTGGTGTTAAAATTAGGTGGATTGTAGCAGAATATGTATAGTAATAATTGTTTGTTTCTCTGCCATGTTTCTTCCATTACGGAATCGGTTTGTACCGGAATGGATTTGCTTTAATTAGGTATCGAATGAACACCTTTTTATGGGCGCAAAGGCGGAACTGATGGCTTATCGTCTACCTGAAACATGGCGGGGCTCCACCCCGGAAGTGGATATTGCGTGCGTGCTATTTCATCGACGAAAAAGGGGCGCAAAATGCTCTATTTTATCGAAAATAATTCGTATATTTTTCAATCTTCCATCGATTTGTTGTAGCCATACAATAGATTTTTTTTTTTGTCCGAGGTGTTGTTTCGAGGTAAGCGGAGCCCCGACCTTAATCGTTGGAATTATATTAATTTTCACCCATCAGTTGGAAACGGCCGGCCGCGTAATAGCCGGTTGTTAAAGTTAAATGCCGGTTATTTTTGCGGAAAATAAATAAACTTTCATTATAATAAAGCTATAAAACGAGATTGATTTCGATTATCAGTGGAAATTACGCTTTGGCGATGATGTTTATCTTGTCCCACAGTGACGGAGGGGGTTTATTAATATTTATTAATTTGTTATTTAAAAAGGGGTAATTAATTATTTATCGTAAGATATTTTTAAATTCTTTTAAGTAATTGGTAATTATTATTTTACTCCTCTTTTGTATTTTTTTTAACACCTTATCGATGCCGTATTGGGAATCTACGTTACTGACTTTCGCAAATAAAACCATAATCAGTTTTTTTTTTACATTAAATCGAAAATAATTAGGTAGATGCTTACGGGTTCTTGTAAAATTGCATATTTACAATTTTAATCGCAAAAACCATTACAAATTACCGGGAGGATAACGATCTGGTTTCGATAAGAGCCTCTAACCATCCATAATCGCACAATTACAAGCGGTTCCTATTTAATTTTTTTTACGCTGAAACAAGCCATTATATGCCCTCTCATTTTCTTACCTATAAAAGTTTATCAACATAATTAGCTGAATAACCATATATTTTTTTTCGATAATCCATTCCTTTGGCTGTGCTGCACATATAGAAAAGTACGAGTGTTATGATCGATGGGCCTAACGCCCCACATCTAATACATCCTTTCAATAACAGGAATAAATCAATTCCTAATCTGACGAGGCCATAAATCGTTCCCGAACAGAAAAGATCATATCGTAAACGGCCATCAAAAACACGGAGTAAGTGCACGCACTTAGGATATTTATGATTAGAGGCCTTTCTATATCGCCCATTGTTTGCACATCGCCGATATAAATGCGGTCTCGGATGACATATCGGGGATTAACATACGTATCGGATTTGTTTAGGGAATTTTTCCGTTTGCCGCGAAACGCGTGCCGGGCCGTCCCCCGCCCGCCCGGCGTCCCGACGACGCCCCGGCATCGCGACGGTGGGAATGGCAAACATAGAGAGGAACGCTCTGCGGATGATTATTATTTATGTTTCTGCGACCGATGTATATAATATATATATTATTATTTTCTTTGTTTGACGAGTCGGGGAGGGTACCTATATGTATATGTATATACGGGGGTCGTCGAGTATGTTTGCGTTTTAACGTGACATGTGATTTTGACACTTGTATTTCTGTTCTCACACTTATTTAATTGATACTGATATATTCGTTTTGGGCTATTGTGCACACAACGGTTTAAGATAATGCTTGGTGTTTGGGGATGGTATTAGTGATGCGCAATATTTTTTTCTACGGTGTATAGCTACAGTTTTGATTAAAATTAACACTAGAAGAAATAATTTATTAACGCAAAAACGTGAATTCTTTAATTATATTCGTTTGGTACTATCGTCTCGGATTATTCGAAATGCTAATTTATAAATGCATAAAACAAGCTATTAGTTATAATTATGTCGCATGCGAATTGGATCGAGATAAGAAAGGAGTTTGAAATTTCGTTGTTTAGTAAGTTATAGCATGTGATTGCAGCGCGATTTGCATTTCGCTATTCCAGATATTCCTTTATCACGCGATGCCATTTTGCTCCTCGATATTATACGCTCATTTGTACTAGTATTTTGGGTAGCCAGTTAATTCGCCATAAAATCCTTCCGTCTCGTTAACGCTAACCCGTCCGGTATAAAAAAAAAGTGGAAAACATCAATCATCTTGTTATCTTCGGGATCCACCTCCAGAAATCACGTATTATTATTCTCTTAGGACCATTATTAACACATTAATATAATATTTTTACAAGTGGGCGTACCCATCGAACCCTCTGTCAGTTGCACACCGAAAGAAATTAGTTCGGATCCTTTACCAACCGA